CATACATACATACATACATACATACATACATACATACACACATACATACATATATATATATATATATATATATAGATGGTACTCACATGCATGCATGCATGTCCATATATATATATATATATATACATATATATATATATATATATATATGGTACTCACATGCATGCATGCATGCATGCATGCATTAAACATACATACATACATACATACATACATACATTTACTTTTACTTTTACTTTTACTTTTACTTTCACGCTCAAGGCACGCAATCCAATTCGGATGCAGACTCAAAGCATCCAATTAGGAGGTGAACATAGACGACATCTTGCTACAGGTCCATAACTGGACAGGGTTCGTCGATTTGCTGGCTGGCTTGCTGACGGCCTTTCTGGAAACATTTTCGTGAATGTGCACTGAGCATTAGTGCGTGCGTGCGTGCATGTGTGCGGGGTGTGCATGTATGTGTGTGTGTGTGTGTGTGTGTGTCTCCGCGTGTGTGTCCGTCTGTCTCCGTGTCTGTGTTGTGTGTGGGTGTGTGCATGCACCGCTTTTATTACTGACTTGCTTCTGAAGCTGCAAATGTTCTCCTAAACTCGAGGATCATACAAAAACAGTCATGAGAGCCCGAGCCAAGAAGCAGTGTAGCTCATACCAACGAGCTTCAACAGCTCCTCAGGGCTTCAGTAGCTTAACCAAGGAAACGTCAGCCGTTCATAAAAAAACGGTGCGTGTGTACGTGCCCGAAAAGGCCAAAGGCCACCCACTCACCCAGGCTCCTGGCTTACAGAGCTCTTCAAATGCATGTTGGTGACAAGGAAGGGTGGCGCCGAACTGGTGGGCCGGATCAGTAGTCCAAGAACAACTTGAGGAAGCACTTGAAGGGCCTCAAGACTTGAGGAAACATTGAAGTACTCCTATTTTAGTGAACCTTAAAGTATCCCTCCAGAGCATCTTTTATAGCACCCCTACGAACCCTAAGCCCCAACACCTAACCAAAAGTTTGATTAACCAAGTGAAGAGCCGGCTCTGTACCATAGACTGACTCAAGGCGACGAGCACCTGAGTCGATCAAGGGCTGACGTTTGGGGTTTAGGGTTCAGCCTCAGGATCACAGAAGAAATGTCACATAAACCCAACAAGTTAACGTTGAAAGCTTACCTGATCACGTACAAAGTATCCGGAGTACACGTGCTTCCTCCAACGGGAGGCGGTACTTCGCCATTTCTTCTCTCTCAAGTCGATGCCTGTCCAGCATATCGCCCTCTCCACTCGGAGAAGAGCTGTTCGGACGAAGATGGCCTGACCTTCAGTCCCTGCCCCCGTCTGACTCTGGGACTTCTTCGCCTTGGGTACGAAGTATCCCTCGTAGCCGTGAGGTTCGAGCTCCGGTCGGAAGAATTCATGAAAACGGTCCACCTCCTGCACAGCTTCAAGAGATGCATGTGTGTACCTAGAGGCTCCATAATAGTTCCTTTGTGGGATTACCTTATAGGATTCTATATAATAACCCCAGAAGGAACTACTATGGAGCCCTAGGGTAGGTGATGAGAGGAGAGTGCAAATGCAGCACCCTTTCCCTGCTGTCGGGCTACGGAGCCATATTCAAATGTTATCGGTGTGCCGAAGCTCTAGAATCCCTCCGAACGGGTCCATGTAGTAGTATAGTATATGGGTGGTTGTCAAAATTAGGGTCCCCTTTTTGGCTCATTATTATACTACGGCACCTATTATTTAGAGTACCCCAAAAAGGGACCATAATTCTGACAACCACCCATATACTCTTGGGGCCCAGAGGTCTACTAAGCAATGACTATATTACTCGGACTCTTGAGGCCTAAGACCCGATTAAGGTTTATGGTTCCCCTAAACCCTAAACCCTAAACCCCTAAACCCTAAGGGGCCGTTAACGCAATACCAGCATCCTGGAGGCACACGATGTCTGCCCCGGAACGCAGGATCTCTTCCAAGAGGCCATATTTCCGCGCTTCAAAGGGAACTGCACAGCCTCTGGGCTCTGGCTACGAAGCTTGCTTTAAGTTAGGGTTTCCTCATTCTGGTATTTTAGCTGAAGCACCTCCAAACGCTGATCTCGGAGGCTTCTGTTGTAACTTAAGCAAAGTTCCTGAACCCTAAGTCTAGATGTGTTCCTCCATTTTTACAAGTGGTTTAATTTCTTGCAGTCAACACCACCATTGCACGCAGACGAAGCGTTGTGAACGACGCCGCAATGTGCGTTTCACCTCTAACACTCCTCCAAGAGGTTGGGCCCAGCTAAGTTAAAGCGATGTTCCTGGCCCGAAGGGGTCCAATTACCTGACAATCATATAGGTGGTTGTCAAAATTGTGGTGCCTTTTTGGGTCCCTATTTTAATACGGCACCTATATATTTAGGGTACCCAAAAAGGACCACCCGTATACTTACCAGTATGTCAACAACCCTCTATGCGACAAACCTCCGATCCTAAACCCAAGTACCTAACTAAGTATTGGGTACTTGGGAGGTTTCCCCCTACACCTCCAAGAGCATGCAAAAGAATAGCAAAAAACCTATGAAAAGCCTATTATTCTACATGCTTTTGGGGTCCAGGTCGGATTCATAAACCAAAAACCTCTAAACCCTAAATTTGGGAGCTTTTTCCTTACCCTAGGGCTCCATAGTAGTTCCTTTTTGGGGGTTCATATTTAGAATCCTCTAAGGTAATCCCACAATGGAACTACTATGGAGCCTCTAGGTAGGGTGTTCATAAGATCCAAGGGTAGAAGGAGGGACCCTTAATAAGGACCCCTAGGTATATACCCTTAATATAGCCATTATATACCCATTATATAGCCCATTATAGGGTAGGGGTCCTCATTAAGGGTCCCTCCTTATCCACTAAACCCTACACCCTAAACCCTTGTAGATCCTTATAGATCCTTTTAAAGGAACCCTAAGAGCCCTAAATTAAGGATCCCTCTTTTCCCCTTTGATAAGCAGAGCCCAGTCGCCGTTCGGCTCCAGAGCTTCGGCCAGCACGTTGAAGGTACAAACTGTGATGCCGAAGGCTCCCGGTTCATCTGCATGCCCGCCTGCGAGGTTCCAGGGTTTAGGGTTTAGGGGTTTAGGGTTTAGGGGTTTAGGGGTTTAGGGTTTAGGGGTTTAGGGTTTTAGGGGGTGCCTGATTTTTGGGTCCTTATATGGTAAGGATCCTACTATAAGGTACTATGTTAGGATCCCCTATGTTCGGAAACTCCCACCTGTTTTGGTTTAGGGATGTCTCGGGCCGAGGGCCTAGGAGGTAAGGTAAAACTTGCATGTCCCCAAGTAGGTAGTACCTGGACCTCCAAAAGTAAGTAAAAGAATGGCCCTACAAAAAGGCTATTATTCTACATGCTTTTGGGGCCCAGGTACTTGCATGGAGTCGGAACAAGGAAGCGCGTATCAGAGCTTCCTTAAGCGAGGGAGACTGCATAATTACTACATGAAATATCTGCTGCTGCATGGGCTTCTCGACACCTTTGCCCTGAACCCTGGCCCTAACTCCTAAACCCCTAAATCCAGGCACCAGACCCAAAACTCTGCGTCGTATAGCCGAAGCCCCTGTATAAACCCTAATATGGGAGCCTATAATATACTATAACTATAACAAGGAACCCCGAAAACAGTATAGGTAATTTTTTTGGGGGGGCTCCTATATTACGTGTATAAACCCTAGATCCTCAGCGCCTCTCTCCAGAACTTGCCACCGACGCTCCAGGTGCGCCATGAGCACTGCAGTTCTAGTACCCTGGGACCCAAAAAGCCCGGCATCGGCTTAGGACTTTATGTGGTGCTGTCGGGCTTTGTGATTGTTACCTGCGTTTCTACGGCTTTATAGGCTTTAGAGCTCATTAAACAAGGTTTGGTGTTAAGGGTTAATTAGGACTCTAGTAATCTAGTACTTAGGACCTCCCTTCAAACATGAGGGCTGTACTCGAAGATGGTGCTAGAACCCCGGAGCAGCACATCGTAGTGCGTCGCTCGTATCAGAAAGATCCCAACAGGTGGCCCTTTTCTAGGCAAACCACCCGTATATGTAGGGCCTTGTGTCATCATGGCACTGGGAACCCTGAAAAACAGTTCACTTCCTAGGCCCTTTGCTGGGAACTTTAAGGAACCCCCCTCCTCAAACAAAACGCTGAGCTCCCAGGGCGTCAGACAAGTCCCTAAGAGTTACGATGATTGACAGAGTGCAGCAGCAGACGCCTGTGACTCTGAGAAGTTAGAAGTGGTTGTAGATGGTTGTAGGGTTTAAGACACAGCGGTATAGAAGAGATTGTCGAGTTTAGGCTGTTGTCATTCGGGCTTGGGGGTTTGGAGTGGGGGTTTAGAGCTTTGGTTGCAGATTGCGGCCCGCGATGTGAGCCAACTGAGATTCGGAGTCGCCACGAGCTGTCATGCAAACACGACCGAAACCCTATAAGCCCTACACCCTAAATCCCAAACCCTGGCATTCCGGCGTCCTCACCTGTGGAAATGCAGAACACTGAGAACACCGAGCAGCGTATTGTTTCCCCCGAAGTAATTAGAAAAGGATTCCTCTGTGTGTTCTGTTGGAACAGGGTTTTGGTGTATACCGTGACTATACCAGCAAGGACTGTGGTGAGGGCTTAGTTTTCAAGGTTCAGCGCTTAGGGTCGTAGAAGCTCTGTTGTCTATGCTCAAGCCCTACCGGGGGGACCCGAAAGCCTGCGGTATGAAGGGTTAGGGCCAGGGCCATAATTAATTAAGCGGACAGAACCTACTGTTTTGTGGAGAATAGCCCACAAACTGTAGACCCTGAACCCAAAGCGAAAGACCGACCACCTCTGAACAACCCTCAACACCAAAGCACCAAAGCCCAACAAAATCTAAGGTGTTAATAATTAACTTTAGCTGAACCTGAAGCGATTAACCCTCAACATAATCCCCGACCCTAGCCAAAAAGTAACCGCATAAACACCTCATATCGGTAACAGCAAAGCCGGAACTGCCCGCCAACCTGAAGCCGGTAAAGTAGCGTAGCCTCGTCTTTGGCAAGGGCGGCTTGAAGAAAAGCTTCGTCATGTCCCGAACTGGTTGAGGTATATCTAAGGATACATGTTCCTCCTGTTCTTGTGCCAGTGTTTCACAGGGTGTTCGAGAGGCTTGAACAAGGACATGACGGGTTTTCGCCTCACGGATTTGCACGTCGTTTCCTAACCCTGGAAGCCCTGTGTACACATCAATCCTTCAGCCCTATATAACCCCTAAAGCCTCAAAACCCTACACCCTACACTCCTAATATATGACCCGTGATTGTTTTAATAGGGTTTTGGGCCATTATACCGTAGTTATAATGAGGAACCCCCAAAATAGTGTTGGTAATTACTTAGGCCCTTATGTTGAACTCATCACCACTGCGGCCGGGCGGCAGGGTGCCCTTGTTGCCGTCCAAGCTCCGGAGCCAGCTGAGGGCCTCTGTCTCCACGTCGCCTCTGATCGGTTTTGGGGTTTAGGGTTTAGGGCTTTAGGGTTCAGGGTTCTTGTAAAGGGTACTATCAGGGTTCATGTATATAGGGGATCTATATTGGTTTCAGAGTTTAGGATATAGGCGATATAGGGTTTCGGGGTTTTGGGCTCAGGGTACTAGTGTTCAGAATTTAGGGGTTTAGGGCTTAGGGTTTATGGGGTTTGGGGTTTAGAGGTTCGGTGTTTAGGGTTTGGGGCTTATGTAGTTTCGGAATTCTTTCCGGGTTGTTGTCAGGGTTCTTAGGAACTAAAGAAGCACTGTCTAGGGGCAGGATATTTGACGGTTTAAGAGACTTCGCGGAGGTTCACCGTGGCTCGACGAAAGTTTTGGTGGCTTGGCGTATTGGGCTGGGGCGTGCTCATCTGCCCAGCATGCTCAAAAAGAATTGCGAAGCAGGTCTTCAAGCCGCAAGCCGCAGGTCTTGGCCGAAAGTTGAACACTAACCAGTACACCCTGATCGAGGTGTGCTGGGTTTTGGGCTTGAGGTCAACAAGAGCAACATCAAACGGGTTTCGGAGGAAAACCCATTAACTAGGGACGATCCCCTTGACGTAGAATCCGTACAATGTGGTTCTTTCTTGATGCAGGTCCCTGCGACCACAAAAGACCACCTCATGACGGACGATGATGATGAGGTTGCTGATGGTGCAGTGATGGTGATGGCAGTAGTTATGGTGGTGCTGGCGATTATGTCATTTCATGCTGCAGATCAGCATCAGAACCGTGGTGAGCGTACTGATGATCTTGAAAATCATCTTTAAGCTGCGGTGGCCAAAGAAAGCAACATGACATACTGTATTTACACCGTTTAGCACATCCGACCTGACAAGTACACCTTCCCGAACTCCTGATCTCCCCCTGTGAAGAGCACAAATGCGCGAGCCCCTAAACGGGTATGCGCATGCCACGAGAGCATGCGGAGAAAAAGGTTGCCGTGCTGAGTGCCTGTTTCAGACAGCCTATCAACCGTACAATCCCCCACCACCAGCCCGAAGGAATGGCATCACTAACTCTTCAAGCTTGTACATTGCCCTAGATTTTCTGTTCCTTGGCCAAGGCGGTGCTTTCGTATGGTAATTACTGAGCCTGCCTTTGCCGCCCATCTTGCTTTGTTTCACGGGGTGTCAAGGATCCAGAACACTCAGAATGTTTGCTGTTCACAACGGCTTCGCAGGATACACACCGGTACAAGGCTGCGTACTCGAAGGATCAAATGTGCTGAGTAAGGTGATGAGCACTTCGATTTGGGCTCTAAGCAACTCTATAAAACTACAACTACCTTACTCAGAAGCCTACGACCAAGTTTGCGAATAAAAAACTAGAACACTGAGTACACCCGTGTACAACTCTCAGAAGCTCCTGATCCTGAATGTGGGGTTGTTTTGCAAAAAATGCCGGGCTTGCCACTTCGGAGCAGCAATGCCCACGCAGCACGGTTCTGATCATACTTGAGGCTTTAATATTAATAATACGAATAGTAATTAATACTACAATAAAATATACTGATATAGTAATGTAGTAATACTAATAATAAAACTAACAATAGTAATAATAGCAGTCCAGGTTTTGGACTCTGGGGTCGGGATTAAGTCTTAGGCTCTATTGGCTTTATGTCACGTGCTTCAAACACGCCCGTGTGGAGCTGCAGAACCCGAAAAGATCGTCGTCGGCCTCGAGGAATCACGGCCAATTGGCTCTCGTCCACGGCCTCTTCCTCCTTTCGGGCTTACTTAAAGGATCATGGGACTTAGCCACTAGTGTTATAATTAGGGTAACTATACATATAACCCCAATTAAGGTACTTCCCACCTTACTTATGATTTTAAGTCCCATGATCCTCCAAGATCCTCCAAGTAAGGGTCCCTCAATTGGGGGATCTTGCTCTGCAACTCCCATGTCTACGAAGTCAGCTGCATAGTAGAGCCTTCGGAGAAGTTGCTTTTAACCACTGTCTGACTTGCATGAGGCAAATTTAGTCGGAGCGGAACGGCGGGAGATAGCAACATGCATAGGCGGATCTAAAGATAGACAGACAGCCAGGCAGACAGGCAGCCAGGCAGGCAGGTTGCAAGAGAGACAGACAGACAGACGGACACACGGACGGCTGGGCGGACGGGAGGACAAACAGATAGATCTGAACATACATGCACACGTACGCCGAGCAATCCATGCATACATACACATACACATGCACATGCCCATGCACATACACAAGTACATATTCATATGCAGATGCAATTACATGTCACTTACATATACATACACATATACATATACGTGTACACTTACATATGCACGTACACATACCTATACATCTGTACCATACACATGTACATATGCACACATACATATAAAGAGATGGAGAGATATTTGGAGTCTGGTTCGACGGATGCAGGTTTCTAGATGCAGCTTCCAGAAACAAACATGAACCGGGATCTCCAGTCCCTACAAAAAACCTTCTAAGCTAACCCTGAGTATAGAGGCTCCCTAAAACTGCACAGCACCCCGAGACTGCAACAGGCAATTTGGGTCCTCTTGCCGTCGTAGAGCTTCCAGCTCCTGCAACTTCCCCTAAACTCGAAACCCAAACTCCCTGAGCCTTAAAACCCTGAACGCCTAAACCCTGAACCGTTTAAACCTTAAACCCTAAACCCCTAAAGCCTTACCCCTAAACCCTAAACCCTGAACCCTAAACCCCAAACCCTAAACCTTAAAACCCCAATTGTGGCGGCCTTAGGCCTCAAGATCTAGGTTACTTCGGCTTGCGGAATGGGTTTCGAGGTTCAGGTTCCCAAGGGTGCCGGCGATCACAACTATTGGGTTTAGGGGTTTAAGGTTTTAGACTAGGGTTTAGGGTTTTAGGGTTGGGGGCTAGGGTTTAGGGGTTTAGGGTTGGGGACTGGGGTTTAGGGTGTAGAGTTAAGGGTTCAGGGTTGGGGACCAGGGTTTAGGGTTTAAGGTTTACTAGACCCCACAACACCCTCTAATATGCCCCAAATACTGCAATTAAGGGCCATGAGGACTGCATTGAGGGGCTGGTGGGTCCTGGTAGGCTTTAGGGTTTAGGGCTCAGGGTTAGGGCTGGGGTTTTAGGGTTTAGGGTTCTTGCGATCACAATCATTGCAGAGCTCCGTCAAGTGCTATGCAGATGCCCCGCAGGTGCTTGGAGGTTCATGGGTAGTTATAAGTGGAGTTATAAGTAGGGTAGCCCCATTTAAAACTACCCATGAACCTCCAAGTGTGGGTAGCTCGACATCAATTTCAATTAGGCGGACTATAACATACTCCCTACGTCCACACGGAGAGCTATCTCCTCGGAAAGGTCAAGATCGGATCGTCATGATACAAGTAGCTGATACGGTTGATGAAATAAATCCTGCATTACCCATGGCAGGGAGTATACCCTACTTCCCCTAGTTTAGGGTCTTTAACGTAATGCAGGATTTATACCATCAGCCGTAGTTGTGGTGAGGATTGGCCCCAACGAGTAGCATCCCTATCCTGAGCGGGAACGCTGACAGTATCACCAAAAATCTTCCACGACACTATCACACCCGAAAAAAAGAACATTGGCAACCCCGTCCAAATCCTTTTGAAGAAGGACCCACCAAAAGCCCAGCAAACCCTCAAAGAGGGTCCACTGTAACCCCTCACAGAATCTCATAAAGGCCTCATAAAGAAAGCCCTTGAAACCCTTGATCAATTACAACAAACCCATACGACCAACACCTTTCAAAATTCAATCACCTTATCAAACTCCACAGAAACAAAAGGACACCCTGGATGTTTCTCCGTCCTCGGCCGTCTCAAGTGGCTCTTGACCGGACCTTGCCAGGAGTTGGGCTTCTAGGGCTTCTAAAGTGTATTACGGTTTAGGGTTTAGGGTTTAGGGGTTTAGGGTTGAGGGTTTATGTTTTCTGGTGTTTCGATGCGTTTTGATGAGATGCTCAGTCTTTGAGGGTTCCGTTGAAGGCTCCTTGAAGGGCTGCTTTGCTTCTGATGAGGTTTCTTTGGAGCTTCCTCTGCAGGCTCCAAATAACTGGGATTGCAAGGGTTGTGCCGGGCTGTATAGGGATTCTTATACATAGACATAGGGAAAGTCCTACCCTCCCCCCTGCCCCAAATCCTGCAAGCTCCATCAGAAACCGTTCACATCCCAGTTCTGGGTGCGGCTTGGTGCAACAATGCATACAAGGGCTCCTACTTGGAGGATCATGGGACTTAGTAACTAAGGTTATAGCTAGGGTAACTATACTTATAACCCCAGTTAAGGTACTTATAACCTTACTTACTAAGTCCCATGATCCTCCAAGTATATCAAACCCACAACCTGAACCTGTCAATGTTTAGCAAAGCATTTTGGTGGTCGTCGTACACTTGTATTCAGGAACCCAAGCACGCACTTTTCAACTTTCTAGCTTAGGCACTTGTACTAAATTTTGAACGCCGATCCTTGATTCCCCTGACCGCAAACCCTGAACCCGGAAGCCCAAGAGTCAGATCATCAACCCAAACGTTGCACCCAGAAGCCTAAACCTTAAAACCTCAGTCTCACAAGAAGGTGGTTCCATTCGGATCACCACTGTCCCTTCTGCACCATAACCTGGAAGTGCGACTCAGCGTCTTGAAGCCGTCTGACCCGTGCAAACTTGGAAGACATGTTGATGCAGGCGCGCTGTAGAAACCCACAGCTGCATGAGAAACATAACAGCCCCCGCTGAACAATGGCTTGAGAACCCCTGAGACACGTTGCTTCCCAACCCCCAACTCCTCAACCTTCCGTTTGACGGGTGATGAGAAGCCCTAAACCTCAAACCCCAAACCCCAAACCCTACACCCCAAACCCTAAACCTTTAAACCCCCAAACCCTAAACCCCCAAACCCTAAACTGTGACGAGTGACGATGGTGAGGGCGGCGGTGGCGGCTCGTCCGCTTCCTCGTCGGTATCCGGGGGAGGCGGCGGCATGTTGCCTTGGCATTTGGGTTCTGTGGGGCTTAGGGCTTAGGTTCTATAGGGGTTCCTTTGAGCGATCTATAGGGTTGAAGGCTCCTTTAAGCGATCTGTAGGGTGCAGGGTTTATAGAGGCTAGTTAGGGGTTTAGGGTTTACAGTAGGGTTTAGGGTTCAGGGTTCAGGGTTTAACAGTAGGGTTTTTTGGCGTAGGGTTATAGTTTCCGAGTCTACCTTGGAGTTTCGTTTTTTTTGACATGGAGGTCTCGTCGCAGGGCGATAAAAGGCTGCCTCCGCTCATGGGCTCGGAAGGATCCCACGAAGTGTGGGTTGGTGACGTAAGGCCTTCAAGAAATCAAAGCCAACGCCTCGACCCTGAACCATGCAGAGAATGGCATATCATACTATTTGTAATGCAAATTAAACATGTATATGTATGTATATATAGATATATGCCTTTACTTACTTATTATAATCTACACATCACATTATATCGTATATGTCAGAATGCTCTGGCATGCCCTGACCTCTCAAGCTCTGTGCTCTCAACCATCCCTGGACGATCAATTCGAAATCTGTCTCCGCACCGCAAGGTCGCCGCCAGCTTTGGGTGGCTGGCGCTAGCTGGCGGTTAATGATGAATGGCTGTGGTGGTGGTGGTGGTGGTGGTGGTGGTGGTGGTGGTGGTGGCAGGAGCAGCAGTGAGGCAAGTTTCTCCAACAAGAAGCCAAGTCTGCGGCTGCTGACGGGCTTCTGGGGCTCACTCGCCGGAGTCTGCTTGATGCGCTCCTATGCCAGCTCACTTTCTATCGATTCGTGGGACAACGAAACTGCCTCACTGCTGCGGCTAAGAGGTCTCGACTTGGAGGATCAGGGCGGGGGGGGGGGGTCGAGGGGGGAGGGGGTGAAAGTAAGGGTTTGGAGCTTAGCTGACTGCCATTCAATGTATGAGTGCTAATGACAGTACTTGCAGAAACAGCTAGAATTAGGACTACCCCTCAGCCTTCTCCAGCGGTTTCCACGATGCAGTGCTTACTCTAGTTCCCAAAAGAAGCGGAGCGCTTTCAAGCCCCAACACAGTCGTTCCAGGAAAAGCAGCATCTATTGCAAGGGATGCAGCAACCAACCAGCTACAACTCGGCCACATGAGAACTGCAGCTGGCTGCTTATACTTGCACACCTTCACCTTACCTCCCTGCCCGCTCCGACAGGTTCAGCACGCGGGTGACCCGATCGCCACCTTTGATCTGGAACTCAATCGGACGCCGGTGGGCATTCCTCGCCTGGACATTTGGTGGAATCGGGTTACCCTGGAAGCCCAATCCCACTGAAAACGGGTCAACAGAAAAAAACAGTGGAAAAGACAAAGGATCGCGTACATGAGTTAGTATCATACCAGTATATGTATTGGGTTCTCAGTGCATGAAGCACTCTCATCCACGAACTTGTACAGCAAGGCTCTCCACCCCAATGATCTGGGCGCCAAGTCGAAAACTCGGAAAAACCAACCTAAAGCCTGAAACCCTAACTTCTGAAACCGAAACAGTGGTGGAAGCCCTGTCAAAACGCCACTTACAAAACCCTGAACGAAGCTCCTGTATACTATCCTCGCGGATAAATCCTAGTTCCGATTGAAATCACCGCATGAAACCTATTAAAGCATTACAGGCTCTACAGTAGTTCACCAAAGCCTACAGACACACAAACTTAAACTCTCAGGGTACGCAAGACGAGAACAAGAACACAAAAACCCAAAAATACAGCCTGAAATCCGAACCACCTACTAATAACAAAATGACTCTCTTTCTAACCCCAACAAACAAAAACAAGCCAACACACACCACCCTAACCCTAAACCCAGAAAACCGCTGCACCTCGCAGCACACTCGCAAAACACACCCGACACCGAGGACCAAAAGAACGCCGGACAACGTTGCCTCTTCGTCCTTGGCTTCGACGGCTTCTGCCAGCCGGGCGCCTGTTGGATGTCTCAAGGAATCTTGTGGAGATTGAAACGTTTTAAACAGCGATCAGGCGATTTTGTTTAGAGGGTCTGCGTTCCAAAGAGATCGGAAACAAATCGTAAGCGTAGTATAGGCTTCCTTTCTTTAAGCATTGCTGGGAGTCGGGCGAACACGGCGAAAACAAAAGTATTCCAGAGACCAGAAGTGCTGTCAAACTCTGTAGTACTCGGTGAAACACCCTATGAAGCACTTCTGAAAGTCGTTATCAAACCCTGTGACAGCCTCTCAAACCCCGTAGGCCTATAAAAGACTTCACAAAACCCACGTCTAAATGTCCTATAACATCCAGAGCCAAAGCCGCCCTGAAGCCGAAAGCCCTTATCGAAGGTGTTGCCCCAATACGTGCAACATGTAACTCGACCAGGAGATTCGCGCATACTACAGCTTTAGCATATAGTGACTGTAGGGACCTCATATGACTTATGCTTCAGGCTCCTTGAATCAACATAAAGTCTAAGACCCTAAACTCCAAACCTTCACACCTTAAAGCCAAGCCCAATTGCTGAAACCTAAAATCCCAAACCCTGAACCCTAAAACCCCTAAACCATAAACCCCCTAAACCCGGTAGATCTAAGAGCCCAATTGCTGAAACCTAAAACCCTAAACCACAAAACCCTGAACCCGAAACACGAAAAACAAGTTAAAGCCCTGACATCCTACAGCCCTAAACCCAAACAACCCTAAAGACTCCTTTAAATCAAGAAGAACCAAAAAAACTAAAGCCCTAACCCCTGAAACACCTAGAGCCCTTTTTCAAGAAGGGCAGGAAAAAGAACAAGAATTAAACCTCTAAACCCTAAACCCCCAACCCCTAAACCCCCAACCCCTAAACCCTTAACCCCCACCCCCTAAACCCTAAACCCCTAAACCCTAAATCCCTAAACCCCCAAACCCTAAACCCCACAAACCCTAAACTCCTAAACCCTCAGTCAACAACAAGCAAAAAACATAAACAAAAAAAACACAAGCCGAGCGGCCTTCGAGGAGCTCGGCATCCAAGGCTTCCCTCGCCAAGGCGGCTGCCACCTCTGAGAGGGCTTTGGGGTTCGGGGTTATAAAGGTTCCCTTTAAGGGTCCCTGTAAAGGGATCTATAGGCATTCTATGAGGGGTTCGGGGTTTAAGGTTTACTTGGAGGTTCATGGTTAGCTATAAGTGGGCTAGAAGTAGGATAACTGTACTTGTAACACATATTCCGGGAGCTATAGCCCCACTTATAACTACCCATGAACCTCCAAGTAGGGCTTATAATTGGGTTTTGAGGTTTGTGGGGTTTAAGGTCTATAGGGTTGAGGGTTTATGGTTTAGAGGTTTTGGGTTTTAGGGTTTAGGGTTTGGGGGTTTAGGGTTTGGGGTGCGGGGTTTAAGGTTTGGGTTTTGTTACGCCCCGATTGGGGTTGTTTACATACTGAAGTTTAGCAGGCTTTGTTTCGTGATTTGGGGCTCTTTGGGCTTGGAGTTTATGTTGGATCAGGTCCACCCACTGATATGCAATGATGATGGATGTCACATTGCAGTCCCTTTGCAATCCTGGTATGAACGGCCGGTAGTAGGCTGGAGCGTGATTCACACAAAGTTAGGCCATGAGGCTTAAGGCTTTGAGGTTGAATTAGACTTTTCGGTTTTGGGTTCAGAGTCCAGGCGTTTCTGTGTTAGGGCTTAGGTTTTGGAGTTCTGGATATGAAGTGTAGGGCTTTCTGCGGCTTTGTACCGGTGTATAACGTTTTGCAAGCTCACGGACTAGCATAGTAGCCCAGGTTAGACCTTAGCTCGAACTCATTTCGACCCCTATCCTTCCGCATTTCTGCGGTGTGGGTAATGGTTCAGTTCCACATGGAGCAAAGGACTGCAGGGTGCTTTGACGTCGTTTTAGGATTTTCTCGGAGACTTCTTCGTCAGGAAGATCGCCAGCTATGCTTGAAAGGACCAAAGATGCTGGCTGTCCAAGCCACAAACATTCCACCCTGAAACCTACAGTCCCCAACAAGTTTGAGGGCGGTACTGCTGCCTACAGTTATGTCAATCTCAGGAGTGCTACGTCTAGAGAAACCATGACTTCCAGAAACAGGAGATACACAGGACATGAATTGGACTTAAGGGTTGAACGGAAGTAGAAAAGAAATAGGAACAAATTGGAAACGAACTTCAAGAGGATCAAAATAGGAATAACACAGGAGAAAACCTAGGAGGAACATAGAAATAAACTAGGAATAAACTAGGAGAAACATAGGAAGTCTAGGAAAACCTAGGAGAAATAGAAAAAAAAAAAAAAACAGAAGGCCGCAGGGTGGAAAGTGGCGGGGGGGAGTGCGCGCAGGGAATCTAATATGCTTTTGGTTGGTTCCCATTTTTCTCCTATTTGTATCATACTGTCATGTTTTTCTTCCATTTCCGAGAAACCAGGATTCGGATTTTCTTCCTAATTTTTATCGTATATTGAGCCACCTGCGATCTGACTAGAGTTAGCACACGAGATTGACATAAGCCTACAGCAAGCTTAGAGACCAATCTCTGTGGGTCTGAAACATCTGCAGTCGTATGGACAATACTAAACCCAGTTCAAACTGCTCAGGCTCCACCTGAGCCCCATGTGGCTTGTAAACGGCCGAAACTCGAATTCTCTGACCCCACATTGCAAACCTCTGCAAAACCCTGCAAAATCCCAAACAACTACTTATACTTACCAAAACCCAAGTACCTCTTTCACAAAAACCCTAAATCCACAGCATTCACCGCCCCAAAGCCAAAAGCCCTGCTCATCGCCCTGACTCATGGACAATAAGACCGTCTAAGCGCCTCATCAACCGCCCCAAAAAACCTGTACCCTAACCCCAAAACCCTAAATGCCCTAAGCCCTAAACCCCTATATAAACCCTACTTAAAGGTTCATGGGACTTAGTAACTAAGGTAAAAATTAGGGTAACTATACTTGTAACCCCAATTAGGGTACTTATAATCTTACTTACTAAGTCCCATGATCCTCCAAGTAAACCGTTAGCCCCTTGAACGCCATCACTCTGGTGAGAGCCTTCTTCTTGTGGCTCCGACCCTGCGGGTCAGTACCTGCTTGAGTGGGCCGTGAGCGCTCTTGGATTTTGGGCTTTGGGGGGTATATAAAATATCATATTTTGCGAAGTATTTATTAAATACTATTAATGAATGCTAAGGTTAGGTGGTATTATAGTTCTAGTATTTTAATGGCTTTAAGGCCAGTCTGGGGCTTGGCTCAGGCCTCCGAACCTCAGCATTTATGGCTTTCAAGTCACATGGGAAGGGGTCAAGTCTCTTTTTAAAGTAGAGCTTCAGTAACATGAAGCAGCGAAAGATAGGGCCAACGTGTCTGAATGTCTACAAACTTCTCGGCTGCCCCTCGCTGTTTCCCGTGGACTCGAAAACTGAAAATCCGCGTCAACAACGTGAACCCGGAAGCCTGCGATCATTCACGATGCTTTTCACCATGAACATGTCGCTTATAAGATTCTGCGTCGTGACGCGAGCATCCTTCGGCGTCGCCGGGCGCCCGGGAAACCCCAAAGCCCAAAAGTTGAAACCGGCATTTTAAGAAGAATAACAATAGCTACTATGAACTATATTAGGGGACTACAGGGGGCTCATAACCCTTAGTTGCTGAGTTCATAAGCCCAAAAAGTGTACACTTTTAGCTTTATAGTGGGTAATATTGTCCTCAAAAAGTTTAAAGTGTATCCACTCAGCGACTAAGAACCCTTGCAAGGTTTACCTGAACCCCAAATAACCTTTCCAAAGACTTATATAAGGAAATCAGAATAAGGAACCTTAAAAAGGTAGGTTCTTTGGGGTCCAGGTGGGGCGAGCCTGGCGGCTTGGCGGCCACCGGGGCTTCAGGTGCCTTGCATGAGCTCCGGTAATGTAGGAACCTTAGGGTTCTATGGTAAAGGGTATCATAAGGGTTCCTTTAAAAGGTACTATAAGGATACTATGTAGGAACCTTAGGGTTCTATAAGGGCTCCTGTAAAGGGTATCATAAGGGTTCCTTTAAAAGTACTATAAGGGTAGTATTAGGGTTTTGTGGGGTTCCACTTGTTTCTACACAACCTGCTGGGGCTTCACCTCAGCAGTTCCTGTAAAGGGTACTATAAGGGTTCCTTGAAAGGGTACTATAGAGGTACTATAAGGCGACTATGAGGGTACTATAAGGGTTTTGTGGGGTTTGATGTAGGAACCTGATTAAGAAACCTTGGGCCTTTATTAGGGTTCCTCATATGAATCCTACTATTTTGGGGTTATAGGCCCAGGGTTTCGTAATCAGGTTCCTACATTACAGGGTTGGGGAGCAGTTTGGGTTGGGGTCTTGCTATACCAGGTGTCGAAAATGTTCATACTTGGGCGCTGTGTTTCTTAACAGTGAGGAAAATCTAGAAATGTCCCAAACCGATACCTAGGGAAAATCATCGCCTGAGGCAAGATTTTAAGACTCGAGTCCCGCACAGTTTGGAGGCTCAGGGTCTGAGAACTTGGGCAGATGAGGGTTTATATGGTACTATAACCCCCAAATAATAGGATTCAAATAAGCAACCCTAATAAAAGGCCCAAGGTTTCTTAATCAGGTTCCTAGATGACAAAAAGTCTGCGTTGGACTGTGCATGCAAGCGGACTACAACGAACGCTTCCACTAAACATTGAGACTCCTGATTCCTCTTCTAAGAACAAAACCCTTGAACGACCACTCGCGGAAAAGCCTGTAACTCTGATGCCCAAAAACCCAAAAACCGAAACCCTAAATCCTAACCCCGTAAACCCTAAACCCCCTAAACCCTAAACCATCTATACCCTGGGCAGTTTAATCATATCAATAACATTACTATTAACAGCCATAATATATAATGCTAATAATCATACTAATTCTAACACTAACAAAAAATATTCCCACAGTGTAGCTCCTTCGGTTGGTCACCTGGACCTTGCCTTCCTCAGTTTGGGCAAAGGATTGCTGGGCGTGGATTCGGGTTTAGGGATCCTTTAAAGGGTACCAGACGGGTTCCTTTTAAGGGATGCATCAAGAGTGCGCACATATGTTTATATATATATATGTAGATATATACATGCATACATACATACATAGTATACATAACCCTGTACCCTAAACCCTGAACCCTCTACCCGTAACCCTTATAACTCTCAACCCTTAACCCTCTACACAACAAACAGGATTTACATGGACCAAGCACAAGTCTTCGTGCCCTCCCTTCTCTGTCAGAGAGTAGATCGGCCTTAGACCCAAACAACTGACAGAAGCCCCGACGGCAACAATGGACCCTTTTGTTCGGCTAGCTCGCGCTACAATCGAATGATTTGCAGGACTACACAGACCTCGGCTGCTGCAGCTGCCAAGTGCAACAGCTGTCAAGTCTCCATGGCCCTACCAATCCATCAGGGTTCTTAATAATCAGGATCCCTGTTACGAAGTCCGTGCAAACTCAGCATGTCCAAGTCGCTCCCGAAACCCTGAACTCCGACTTAAAGCTGGTTATCCATAACCACCTGCACCCGTATCCTCCAAACCCAATACCCAGAGACTCCAGTATCCCTTAATTAAGGAATATACCTCCAATCATGTTAAAGATCCTACTATAATTGAAGGTATATTCCTTAATTAAGGGATATTGGAGTCTCTGGGTACCCTGACCCCTCAACTCGAAAGGGACCTTGGGGGGCTTGGCAGCAGCCTTCACAGCCAGCTTCGGCGCCGGAGCCTTCGTTGTCTTCGTAAGGTGCAGATATTTAGAAAAGTTTGGAGGATCAGCGGGCTTCGTAAGCACTGGCTTATGATGTTTATGAAGGACTTCTCTGGCTTTACGAATTTAAGCAATCCGCGACTTAGTTAGTAATGTTGTATTACGTACCTTACCTGAGGTTTGAAGTAGCTGTTTCTGCAACTGCCTTGCTTACAACCGCACTTACTAAGTCTCCAGATCCCATGGCCAAGTAGGGTCTGAAAACACCATAAAGCACTGAACCCTAAACCCCAAGCCCCCATACAGTAAGAGTCTATAATAGGGCTACTATTAAGGTCCTACTATATCTACATTATAAATATCTTTCAACTACTACTGAGTGGGGGCCGTACCCAACCTAAACCCCAAGCCCCCAACCTCAGACTCTAAACCTACGAGCTCCAGAAAGCCTCACGTATGAGATCCTTAGGTTGATGGGGCTCGCTATAGCCTACCCAGATCCCCACCCGGGTTTCGGGGGCGTGTAGCCCCAAATTACATCTTAACAACACTTTTTTAGGTGTTCGGGGCCAACTTGCGTGTCCTTCTTTTTCTGAACCACCCCCAAACCTGAGTCGATGGATCAAAAGCAACAGGGGACACGTAAAAGGACTAAACACATCCAGCCTACACAAAAACATGAGTGTAAACGCCGATAGATGTTCTTAAGTATCTAGGAATCTAGGCACTACATGAATGTAAACGCCGATAGATGTTCTTAAGTATCTAGGAATCCAGGCGCTACATGAGTGTAAACGCCGATAGATGTTCTTAACCGTCTAGGCGCTCCGGCACCCTGAAACTCTCGCAGCCCTCGGCAGCCGCTGCCTTCGCCAGAGGGTTGGGCAACGCAGCCGCCGGCGTTTTTGCCTGCATTCGCAAGATGGGATCTTTAAGGGGGGTTTGATGATAGTTAAGCAGATCTGTAAGACACAGGTCTGACTCGTTAGATTCATAGAATTTCAGATACATGAACCACTCGCAGCCACAAAAGTCACATGCGTCTAGCGTCTGGAGCTGCAGAGGACTCGACGGCAGAGTCGCAAAACTACTACGACAACTGCTGGTGTCAAGGCGAGGATGCTCATCAAGCTTTATGCTACTATCACCAGCTGCTCTAGAGTCTAGAAATCTTATATATACGAACCTTTTCTATTACATAAAGCTGATGTTGCTACGGATGATTAAGTGTTACAAGGTCTCCTCCTTCCCCACCCAACCCTAAAGCCCAAGCAAAGAAACCCAAAGCCCTGAACAACACAAGGAATCCGCAAAGCCCAAAACCCGAAAGCCCTAAACGTCAAATCCCTCAGGCCCTACACCATCAATCGTCAAACCTTCTGCTCGTTCCGCCTTGGCTGCTTCATCTTCGTCCGCATCCGCCGAAGAAGACGAGCCTGGGCTTTGCTTGCAGGCCTTCTCTCACTTAGAGTTTCCACTGTAGTTCCTCTTTTGGCTACCAGTTTTTGGATTAGGTCTTTAATACATCATTGGTTTAACACAAAAGCAGGAATTACAGTAGAGACTGGAAGTAGGGGCTAAGTGCCTTGTTTAGGATTGAAGGTTTAGGGCGGATAAGCCAAAAAAGGTTAAGCTCCTGATTATGGTGAAGTTTGGCATCTGGGCTGATTATCAGGAAATCGCCGCGCAAGCATGTAGTCACTTGCTAGTGAGCGCTCGATTCCTTGCCCCGTCCACAAGCACTGCTGGTGGAAGCCCAGCCCCCAAGCTTGGCCCCAGATGATTGCATAACTCCACACAGTGCCCGAGCAGAGGCCACCAATTTCATCAACTTGCCTCACCCGTCCCACTGAGTGCATAATCCATACTTGGAGGATCATGGGACTTAGTAAGTAAGCTTATAAGTACCCTAACTGGGGTTATAAGTATAGTTACCCTAATTATAACTGGTTACTAAGTCCCATGATCCTTTAAGTATTGGATGCACAGCACCTCCGCGACGTCAGCGCAAAAGAACGAACGGTGAAGCTGATCTGGCCATGTCTTTGTTGCCACGGACGTAGAGACCGCTTGTTGGTTCCGACCGGCTTGGCCAGTGCCGCACCGTGGTCTTCGTGTCCAGGTCGGTTACTAGACGTAGACGTAGAGCACGGCTTGTCGGGAGCAGGAAACCCCAATCGCCTGACACCCAGACAGCCCCCAAAAAGGCAGACCTTTCAGTCATGACGGTGGTTACGGGCTACATACCCAGCCGCTGAGCAAAATAAATGGCGGTACGATTTGTTCCTTCATCGTTCTTTCGAATATACGATTACAAAGGACTAACATAATAGTTTGTCAATAGTGAAGCAACGTAAGTGGTGAGCAAAAACACGACGGCACACAGCCTTTTGCCAAAGCCTGAACATGCCAAGCTGCACCAAACTGCCCCAAACCATAAGCCCTTAAAACCCTCAAGCCCTGAGATCAAACCCTAAACTTACCCCACAACCCGAAACCCTAAACCCAAAACCCGAACCCTATAAGCCCTAAACCCCAAAGCCTGAACCCCCCCCGCCTACAAACCCTAAACAGGAGAAGATTCTGAACTATGAACCCTAAGCCCTACAACCAAACCCGAAAACAGACGCCCTAAACCCTAAAACCACAACCCCAGACCCTAAAGCTTTAAACCATCTAAACCCTTTGAAGACGGCCCGGGAAAACCCTACCTTAAACCCCTAAACCCTAAAACCGCAAACCCTGAAGCCCTAAACCCGAACACAAACCCCGATAACTAACACCCTACATCCCCTACACCCTAAAACCAAGCCCTCAAACGGAGACCTTAAATAGATCCCATAAAAGGAGCCCTCAAAGGATCCCTTAAATGGAGGCCCCAGGACCCCTTGAAACAGGCCGAGGAGCTGCTGTCGCTTGCCTCCGCCTCGGCCTCCGCCTCGGCCTCCGCCTCTTTCTCACTGCTGCTGCCGCTGCTGCTCGCCTGGCAGACCCAAAGGATCCATGTACCCAAATAGTATATACTGAAGCCTTAAAGTCGTCTCCATATAGGTACTTTGGGGCCTAAGTATATACTATTTCGGTACATGGGTCCTTTGGCAGAGAAAGCACAGGAAGCCTACAGATCGCTTGTGGGAAGGGCTTGGGGGTTTTGGGTTGTGGGGGCTTACTTAAAGGATCATGGGACTTAGTAACTAGGGTTATACTATAAAAGGCTCCTTTAAAGGGGATCTATAGGGGTTCGATAATAAGGGTGTCCTTAAAGGATCATGGGACTTAGTAACTATGGCTATGATTAGGGTAACTATACTTGTAACCCCAATTAAGGTACTTATACCCTTACTTACTAAGTCCCATGATCCTCCAAGTAGGGATCAAGATTGAGAGGGCTGAACATGCGGGTAGAATATTCTTGGGTTTTACACATATAGGGATGTGGTTACAGGTTCTCATAGATTTTGAAAGGGTGTATTTAAATTCTGAAGGCTTGATACGGGTTGTGTAAGGATTCTACAGGCGGAGCATGAGTCTGATTGATTCTTCTAGCAAGGGACCACAGAGGAGTAAGGCCGTGGGAGGAAATTGCAGTACCAGTATAAGTTTATAGGAACGTCAATGACCCCTGTTTACTTTAGGGCGGACTGTGTGATGGAAGCGACTCTAAGAGTAGAGGTTTTACAGAATGCAGCTTGAAAAGAATACAGACCGCGAGTGTCGTACACCATGCCAAACAGCGTCAACACCACCGTGAACGCTACTCAAGCTACATGCCATTACATGTTATGCTGCTTAACTAAATTCTTTGCTACTAGTACGAGAAGAAAATAGTACTGGAAACTGTACGACTTCTGGTGCCAGTATATACTGGTACCACTACTACTACCTGCACCAGCCTGGTACCGAGAAGCCATGCCAGTAGAAGATCGAGAAGAAGAATAAGGTAGCAGCAGCAGCAGCAGGAGCAGCAGTGTGAGAAGTAGTAGTTTTCGTCGTAGTAGTAGTAGTCGTCGTAGTTGGAGCAGTACCACAGCAGCAGGAGACTTCATTCCCCACGCCACGGAATGTCACTATTTCGCATGACGAGCCAGCAACGACTGCAGTGTTTGAGAGTCGTCGGATCTTCGGCCGTCATTCAGCTAAGCTTGCAGCAGAAGAGCACATACGAAAAAAACGGATGCGATTGCCACCAGGTGGGTATGCACAAAGCAATCCTGAAACCGCCAAAACCCTTCAACGGCATGCATCCTGAAACCATGCGGCCTAAAACCTGCGTCCAAAAGGTCATGAATGTTGAATGTATGAAACCTGAACCCTCAAACCCTGAAAAAATGAAACCTCAGACTTGAACCAAAACATTATAGATGAACACTGAAACCCAACGACTCCTGAACAAAACCCTGAAATCTCCTTTAAGAACAGACTTAAAACCCCTGTTGCAGTTGGAAAAAGACTTACACGATCTCGCCAAGAAAACCCCCTAGAACTGTTGGGAAACTAGACCCTCCACCTACCCTCAAACAGACCCTAAATGCCCCTTATTCGGGACCATATACCGCTATTTGAGGGTACAAGGAGGGTCCTGGAAACTCCTCAACACTGTTTTGCAAAAAAACGGCCTTGGGCGCTGCTTTGGCCTTGGGCTTTTCAGAGCTGCTCCGTCGCCTTGCCACAGACACCGTTCCTTTACTGGTGCTGTTTGGTTTAGGGTTCAAGGTTTAGGGTTTTCAATACTGCGCATGTTGTAGTTTACAACGGGCTTGAAAAGATTCGGTGGCTTCTGGGCTTTGATAGGGCTCAGCTATGCGATGTTTGATTCGGCATAGGGATTTGCTTGTATTCAACATTCGAAATATCTATGTATAAATAAATAAATTAATAAATGAATATATATATATATATATATATATATACACATACATATATACATACACACATATATAGAAGGCCTTGGGATTGCCGCTTAATGTTGGCTTGAGCTTTTGTTTAATCCAGCAGCGATGCTTGCGCTAAAGCTGGGTTTTGCAGAATTCAGCGCCAGGATTGAGAGGCACGAGCTGTAAATACACAGGTGCCTTCCTTCCTGAGTGCATACTGCTAAACGTTTGCATGTCTAATTAGGCCGCGCACTTGCCTATGAAGGCACGGAAATGGAACAATACATATTACGTGCTGAGGTGATCTAGGGTTCACAATGTTAAAGGGTTGTCAAAGCTTGGGGCCTTTGATACGCTTGTATCAGCCTTTCCGATCGAGGTTCCGGTTCCTATATAGGGCCTTCTGGGAATATGATGAGTTTTACAATTTGTGTTCGTGGTGGCGAGCGGGGCTACTTTGCATTGATGTGTTGGGCGATTTGGGGGTGCAAACGGTGCAAAACGGGAGTTTGCGATTGTTTGCAGCTTAAACACCAAAGCCAATAAGCACTACTTAAAGGATCATGGGACTTAGTAACTAGGGATAGAATTAAGGTAACTATACTTATGACCCCAATTAAGGTACTGATAATCTTACTTACAAAGTCCCATGACCCTCCCATTATAGACCCCTTATAGATCCCTTTAAGGAACTCTAGTATAGAACCCTATAGTGCCCTAAGATGGGACTTTAAACCTCCAAGTAAGGCCTGAACCTTTCGTTGTGCCTCTGGCGCCTGGGCCGGCGACGGGCGCTGCGGCTGCGCCTCGACAGGCGTCTTCAAGACTTTAGGATTTGATGCTTTGGGCTTGGGTAGCGTTTATGGGTTAATTCAGGGTTTGTTGTTTAATTAAGGCTTGCGGCTTAGAGTTTGGGGTTTAAGGGTTGGGGTTTAGCGGATGTGGAGTGCAAAGGAATTCATGGGATTTTAAATTATTTGAGGTTCGGTCCAGTTAAGGTCCAGCTATATAAGGGTTCTATACGGCTGCTATGAGTGTTTAAGGTGTGGAGCTACTTGCTACCAGTAGGTGGACTCTTGAGTGATCAACCAGAACTCCTTTTGCAACAGTCTTCCTGCGCAAGAAGGATCCTGCAGCAAGGTTCACGTCTCTGTTGGGCAGAGCCACATCCTGAAGATGGCGGCACTAAAACTTTGGACAGCAGAGACAACAGTCGAGTGAAAGCATTTACTCAACAAAACCTCTGTAACACGAACTGCATCCATGCAAAAAGCACGTTTCAATGTCCATGCAGAGCCCTGGCGAAAACGTTGCGCAAAACTGTGCCCTGCCTATGAGTTTTGAACGGGCGATAAACATTTGATGAAGCCTTGAAGTAACAAATATCTCCCAAACCCAGCTACTCTCCCAAAGAATTTCCGCAGAACTTTCACACGACATGCATAAAGATTCGAAGCAACCCATTCCAGCGGTACATAGTGGTGCCCGAGTTCGGTAACGCAGACGTGCATGCAAAATGGTTTGTCTTCCGGTGGTGCCCGCGTCCATTCATTCCATGTGCACTCTGTCCACAGATCAGAAGCCAGCCTGCGAGCTAGCAGGTGCCCCGGAAACATTTGCCGAGCTGTTGGCCAGTAGAAAGCAGTGTTATGCTCCAACAATTTGCGAAGAAGTAGGTTTTTGCATTTCAGACGCAACGTGGTCTGATGCAAGGATTGCACCTATCGAAACCAGCTTCGCATTTCTGCGTGCAGTGCTTCATTGGAAGTCGTGCCGGATGGCATCAATGTTTGAGCCAGGTTGCTTTGCAAGGTGCGCCAGCGCAGATTGTTCATCAGCCACTCCAGTCTTTCTGCAGATGCGGCCGTGACCAGGTGGTCGTAACTTTCGCAGAACTTCTTCTTCTTCTTATGGAACCCTTAAAGAGACCTTTCTCTTAGAACATGGACCCTGCAACCTCTTATGATCCCTAGGGGACCCTTACAGGAGCCCCTCAAAGGAACATCTCTTTGGGCTCATGGACCCTTAAACGGTCTTAAACCTCAGATCCTATAGAACTCTTATGGAACAAACCATTTTTCAACCTCTTAAAGGGAACCCTATTGTAGAACCCCAAAGTACCCTCTAAAAGAGCCCTTCAAAGAAACCCTATAGATCCCTTAAAGGAGCCCTTAAAGGAAGCGTTCTTTGGGCACCGGGGGGACCCTGAGCGCCTGCGAGACCTCGACCGCGACCGCCGGCGCGAAGAGCCGGGCCGGCGACGGTCGCTTCGGCGGTTCCGGGACCGAGACCTTCAAAGAAGAGTTTTTTTTTGTTTAAGGGTCTCCTTTCGATCTGCAGAAAGCGTCTCAAAAGCCCACAGAAGAGTTTAGAGTTTGGGGTCTAGGGTTTAAGGGGCTTTGAAAGAAGTGTTTAGTTTAGGATTCCTTTAGTTTGTTTTTTTGAACGCCTTTTTCCGCCTAGCAGTTAAGGTCAGCTTAGGATTCAGTGCTTCTGGTTTAGTTTGAAGAGTGGTTTAGGGTGTAGGGTTTATGGTTTAGTGTTTCATCACAATTCAAAGCGAATTTAGGGTTTAGCGTTTAGTTAGGGTTGAGGGTATTTTGGGCACTTAGGGGGTTGTCTTGGGTACTGCTCTCGTTCTGTAACAGTCTATAACAGGACTACTATCGAGGGCCTGCGTAAAAACTCGGTAATATGAATATTGTTAAACTGTTGCTGGGCGGGGGGGGGGGCATTATCCAAGGTACGTCTTTATTGGATCTAAACAAGAACCCCTCAAACGGCAGAACTCAAGGCTTAGGGGCCAGGCATAAATCACATAGCTGGAGGGTTTTTATAATTCGGTGTGTGTGCGTGTGTGTGTTTCTCTTCTTTGTTGCTTCTGGCCTTGTGTTTCTTGCAGGGGCGAATCTGGGTTTAGAGGGCTTTTTGGCGATGTCGCTGGTCGATTCACTCTTGACGGAAGTTGGTACAACTTGCAAGGGGTTATGGTTCCATGCTTGCCGAACCTCGGGGGAATGCAAGTGTTCTGGGTGTCCAGGGTCCTTGGGGCATATACCTGGTCTGGTACTGCATGAAAGACTGCCGGCTGCAAACTCCCTTGTCTTGTCATCTTTGAGGCCCAAAAACTTCGTCCATGTCAAGCCACTACTAGCCCTGGGTCTGTGCCCTCAAGACCCGGAAACCCATAACCCGACAAACAACTGAAAATCGATCGTCGGCTCCTTACAATACTGCGGACCGCCGCGCTTCCACGACTTGACGGCCGAACACCAGGGTCTGAGGAAAGTTTAGTTTGGGTCACATAGTCAGAGTTTCGACTACTCTGTTCCTATATTATTGCCAGTATTCCTCTTGACCGTAGCTGGATCTATACTACAGGGTGCAGGGTCTGGGGCTTACAAGATATTCAATTGTGTCAGCTTCGCTCAAACCAATAGTAAGTCGACACCCTTGATGAAAACGTCGCGGAAGCACAGGGCCAGGAAGGTATCGAACTGCTCCAGGTGCTCCGGGCTGAAATTGACGAGGTTTGGGAGACACACGCTCAAGAGCGTCCTGTCCACTCCACTGCCACGGGGCATGCGCAGGAGATCGTTACCAGCAGCGGCCTTGCTGTGCGTCGTCATGAACGCTTGCAAAAGCTTTGCGAGGTCCACCACACCCGGAACATGCTGCCCCGTGTTGAGGGCATCCGGGAGCATCGAGATTTTCTCTGTGCATGCTGTCACAGTCCTGCCTCGTCGAAGACATGACACTCCGCGCCACAGCCATGCCGCATTCCTGACCCAGGATGTGAAAGCTGCACCCTACACCCTTCCACCCAGAAACCTTACACGCTAAACCCCAGGCCGTGAACCTCAATTAAAGCCCTAAACCCTAAACACAACTTCGAAACCATAAAACCCTAAACTCTGAACCTTAAAACAACTCTAACTAAGCCCAAATAAACCCTCACTAAAGCCTAAATAAACAAGAAACCCTGACTAAAGCTTAAACAAACCCTAACTGAACCCTAAATACACCCCAACTAAAGCCTAAATAAACAAGAAACCCTAACTTAAGCCTATGTGAACCCTAAACAAAACCCAAAAGCCTACAACGTACATGCTGCCTGGACCGCCTGGCTCCACGGCGGCTGGCCGACCGCTCGCGACCAAACTGGCATCACTCTTCGAAACTTTCCCTACGGGCCGATTAATACTCACTGCTACTATGTCTATGAAGAATGAGCAAGTAATACTAGTGTTGCGATTCATATATTGATTATGACTGATTGATTATGACTGATAATTACTATTGCTGCTGTTATTGAAGCTTCTTATTGATGCTTGCTTTCAAGATTAGGGTTTGGGGTTTAAGTTCTTAGGGCCTTGATGCAATGCCCAAAGTGCCCAAGCATGGACACAGGTCCTGTAGGGTTCCGTAAGGCGTCTTATAGAGGTGAGCTACGGCTCATGTAGGGGTTGAGTTGAGGGTCCAAGGGACATAAAAGTTAGGTACTTGCAGTTAAGATAGATTTTGGTAGGCTAGTTTTTGGGAGAGGACCCCTTGTATCGTTGTGACAGGTTTTAAGCTTCAAGGGGTATGTTTAAGCTTCTGCGGGCTTGAGGGTCCAGGACTTTGGACCTGTTTTGACAGTGTCCGAATTTACTAGGGATCCCAGAACGCACATACACAAAAAACATAAGGTTGGGATGTACCATAACTCCGCTTTTTTCTAGAAGTGAGCCAATAAGGTAGAGAAACCCGGCTTTGTTGGGTCCTGCCGTTCTACTGGCCACAAGTTCGAGGAGAAGGGGTCATCTAGATCCTATCGACAGGATTCACAATCTGTTTCATGCGATTCACATGCCGCCTCCGATGCTTTGGGCTTTTCGGCCTCTGGGAGTTTGTAGCCTCTGCTTCAAAGATCAAGGACTGCATAGGGCAAGTCATACGCGCCTGTATTGGGGGGGAAATCAATCGATTCTAAATGCAGCTGCCTTGCTTGCAACCCTGATATAGAGGCCTGAACAATTAGAACAGGGTTGTGGGAGATATTGTACTATAACTATAATAAGGCACCCCCCAAAAAAAAATAGTATAGTCTATTATTTACGCCCCTCTAGTACTTCCTGAGTCCTTGATCCTCCAAATAACGCTTAAAGATCTGGTGGCTCGCAGATTCGGGGTCTGAACAGAAGTCCTCTTGGAAGGTTCATGGTGCCTATAAGGGCTTCAGAGCCAAGGGTTTGCGGTTTAGGAGTTTAGGGTTTATAGGGTTTAGGGAGTTTGGGGTTTGCGGTTTAGGAGTTTAGAGTTTAGGAGTTCAGGGAGTTTGGGGTTTAGGGTTTAGGAGTTTAGGGTTTAGGAGTTTAGGGTTTGGGGTTTGGGGCGAAGGAGCGGGCTTGGTCTGGAAATGCTGGACCACACCAATCTCAAGCACTTTGAACCCTATGCCTGAAGCACCACGTACTTCAGAAACCCTACGCCCCAAACCTTTGCCCTAAGGGTCCAAGTTCCCAAATAGTAGGTTGGTTGGTTGGTTCTCAGTCCAGTTGGACAGCTTGTGGGCACAAGCGAAGATGCTGTCTAGCAGGGGCCCTATACGTGAGGCCAGCCATTCCCTGCACCGCAGTACTAGGGCAAGGCTCCCTGCACGTCACCTGCAAGCATTTCTCACATCTTCCACCTCCAGAAGTTCTCTGCTCGCACACAGATGTCCTCAGCTAACTGTACCACTTTGTGGTGAGCGTCGTGGCTGATCGATGTTGCCAGCACGCGCAGGCCAGAAAAGTCTGCTCCCAAAGCTAGACATTCTTGCCGCAGCGCATCAAAGCAATGGCAGGAGCAAACAGCATGAAAAACTACGTTAGAGTACCGTTTCTGGCAAAACACACAAGCTTGAACTTTGGCCTGTGACGGACGCCCATCCACATGACCCAAAGTCACGTATCCGCACCTGAGCATGATGAGTGCTCTATGTCCTTATAGAAGTGTCTTCCACGGAGCACGCATTGCTAGAGCGTCTTTCACAAGAGTGCATGGCGGAGACACCAGTTCGCCGTACGCAATCGGAAACTTGTGCGTTGAAACGGCGGCTGCGAGTCTTGTCTGTTCGGCTTGCACCAGAATTTCACGAACTTAGCGCTTGTAACATTCCTGAGGCTTCCCAGCGAGGGCCCACAGTGGCCAGTCGAGAATGCCCTGAGAAGAGAGGTTTTCTAAGGATCGCTTGCACCAGTTGGATGCTGCCGACCTGTGTCCTGAAAGGAACATCCTACCTGCAAGCGTGGTTTCCCCCTGTAGCCACAGCGAAGCACGCACCGCAGCAACATCTACTGTTACCCTGGCAAGGGCTCCAAGATTCCATCCGATCTCACTGAAACACACAGCTGCGTTTCTCCAGGTTCCTGCACCTACCAATTGTCTTGACCACCGTTCGTAACACTGTGTAAGTGCCGTGCGTGCCTCAGCATCAAGACCCCAGATCCATCGGCCAAACCGCAATGAGGCTTCAATTTTGAGTTCAAAAAGGATAGTAGCGACAGCGAGAGGTATCCTCTTGGACTTGGTGAGCGAGCACAAAATGTCAACCATGTAGGAGCACTGTGCAATTAGGGGCACCACGTGTGGCATCCACTCACCACTTGCAGCCCAGCGCAACCCGAGCCACTTATGAACCTTGACCTCTTCGAGAGCAGCAGGGAGCAGAGGGGGCTGCCTGGGGAACAACAGAGGCCTCGCAACAGCACGGCTGCAGTAGCCAGGCGGATGAAGCTTTTGAACCACGGTCTTGGAAGATCCCAAATGAGACCGAAGAACAAAAAACGACATCCAGAACGCTGGTCGTCAAAACCCAGAACCCAGGGTAACTCCAGAAGCTTGAAGCCAGGCAAAGCCTGCGGCCTGGAAACCCGTTCCTCCGAAGGACACCGAAAAGGAGAAGATCCTGAAAGAAAGACCAAAACCCCACAGGAAACCTAAGAAGAAGAAGAACCCGTCACGGACCCCTTGTTAAAAAACCCCAAGCTAAGCTACTACCCGTGGGACTGACACCAAAAACCCCGTGTTCGAAAGACAAACCCAGAAGCAGAAGATCCCAAAAGGAAGGGGCAAGCCCGGAGAGAAGACCCAACAAGAAGAACCCTGAAACCTCGTCCACCCCGAAGCCCCCGAGCAACCCCTCGATCCCAGGCGCCCTTGCGCAGACCTTCGTTTTGCACCGCGCATCGCGAATTAGGAGCTCTTTGGCAAGATAAAAGTACAGGGTGCAGCGGAACCCCCCAAAAGAGAGGGGTTCAGAAGAGCACGCAAATGCAGCCGCGCCAATGCGAATTAAATGAATTCCCAGCCTGTGCGGAAGGCTACTCAAACCCTACGTTCAGATACCCCCTAGTTCCGATTAGTAAACTTAGACCATATGTGCTGCTCCCATCCAACCCTGGTAGCGAAGCTGGGAGAAAATGATCTTTATTCTAGCTGCTTCGTTCTAAACCTCTTGGATGCGAATTCCTCCTCAACAACTACCGCTTAAATCTAAAACACGAAGATAACCTTAATTATACACATCAATTCTCCCGCTTCGCTCGTCGTGGTCCTCGCTGCGCAGGCTGGAAACCGTGGGGCCGGAACGCTCCCCGGAGAAGTCGACATTCTTCCCGGGTTAACCAGCCTCGCCACTTCTTGGCGAGTTGCCGGCATAGGGCGCGTCCCTTGAAAAGGTGGCCCAGGCACTGCGTGGGACCCTCTATCACTTCTCCGCTGCCCGCGGCATACGCCGCCAACCACTTGCGCATTCCGTGGAAGCCCCAGGGTCTCTCCGCGCACGTCTTCTCGAGGCCTCTAGGGTTTAAGAGCCTAAAGAAAAAAAGGACTAGCTAAACAACCCTAGGCTAAAGACCGCGCCAAGACCCCGAGTTTTGGGGGAACGAGGTGAAGTTATCAATCAGAGCAAAGCATCTATTTGAACCATAGCCACACACCCCCAGGAGACTCAGTCTTTGGACCCCTAGTTAGCCTAGTGAGATAAGGAAAACCTGACCCTAAGACACCACCCCCCCCCTAAAAAGAAAAAAAAAGAATGCTGTCCAGCGTCCACCCGGGCGGCACCGGGCCGTGTACCGCCAGCGCTTCTTGTTGAAGTCGCTTCGATGGGTGTGGATCGCCTCCCGCACAGGAAACAACGGGGATGGCTAGACCTTAAAAGCTAGGGCACCGTGAGAACCCAACGCTAGACCCTACTTAACCCCGAAACTTGAAAGGAAGCTGGCCTTCTGGTGCAACTTCCCCGTAGCATGATCCATGCACTCATAGACGGTGACGTCCACGTGATCGTCCTCTACGTATCTATGTGAACCACAATGCTAAGCTCCCACACTTAGACTACCTCCAAAAGCTACACCTCAATAAGTCCTACCCGAGGGCCTTTTAAAAACCTAAACAATCCTCGTCGATCTCTTTCAGCCCGAGCGGATCAACGCCGCAAGCCAAGGTGCCACAGTCGTGGCAAAAAAACCGGTTGTCCTGCGGCGAGGAAACAAGGAACTTAGATCTAGAAGACGTCCACCTCCCCCTAGAAAACCACTCCACCTAGCCCTATCCCTGAAGCTAGTAGAAGAACCCCTCCGAAACGGGAAGCCTCTTCATAGCGGAGATCACAGCCGCCGCATTCGAGGCACTCGATCTCGAAGCGGTGCTCGTATGTCATGGCTGAGAAGAGGGAGGGCTGAAAGTAGGACGCGATAGGCAGTCGAGAGCAGCAAAAGATTGCTGCGGTCGTTGCATATCAACACCTTCCCAGGCTTCATCAGCTGATTCTTAAAGCCTTTCTATTTGTCCTACTCCCAAGATGTTGAGCAGGCAATGGATAAAACCTCAGGTTCTAGCCCCTTCGATTATTGAATGAGCGGATAAAAACCCTTAAGTAAGAGGTGCTCTAGACCCAGGCGTCCCCTTACCAGCCCTACGCTTTTGAGCTTTTATCCACTGCCCACCCAACATCCTGGGTTAAGAGCTGAGCCTTGAGGCTTTGCCTTTTTAATTCACCCAGAGACAAGGATACAGAAATTCACCTTGCCCTCTATCCACCAAACAGCCCCGCCCGGGTGAGTCCGCTTAAATTTAACCGCCTGCCCGGCTAAAGCCGAAGCCCGTTAAGTTAAGCAGCCTCGCCCGGTTAAAGCCGAAGTCGCCTGGTGAAAGCCGGAGCCCGTGAAAAAGTACCGGCCCGGCCGATTAAAGCTGAAGCCCGTTAAATCTAACGGACTCGACCAGAACTTCCTGAAGCAAGCTTCTTGGTCCTTGCGGCGCAGCAGCTGTGATCCACATGCGAGACGTCGATGCGCACTTCGCGCGCGCCACCAGCTGACTATGAATCGGAGCAGAGAAAGGGCCGGGCCGGGTGGGTATACACTACCAACCAAAACATCACCAACCAAACCTTCAATAGTAGGGTTTCAAGGTCCAAAAAACCATTCAGGGTATGGATTTTGGTGTCTAAAACCTACTATTTGGGTACTTGGACCCTATGGGTTTATGCTTTAAGGCTCCTGGAAGGGATCTACAAGGGCCCCCTTAAAAAGAACTATAAGGACTCCATTTTATGCCTGCTTCTTGATGAGGTCCCAAATAGTAGGGTTTCAAGGTCCAAAAAAACCCTACTATTTGGGTACTTGGACACTCTGGGTCTATGCCTGCTTCTTGATGAGGTCCCAGGCGTAAGAAATCATTTGCTCCACCTCGCGGCAAGCTTCAAAGGGTAAAAGGAGGGACCCCTAACAAGGACCCCTAGGTATATACCCATAATATAGCCATTATGTACCCATTATATAGCACATTATAGGCTAGGGGTCCCCATTAAGGGTCCCGCCTTTTCCCCTTTGAAAGCTAGGACAGCCCACTTCCAAACTGAAAAGGGTGTAGGGTTAGGGTTTAGGGGGCTTCGTGAACAGAGTGTGCGGTTTGCATTTCAGTTGTTCAAGTTTGAAGTTTAGCATCTTAGGGCTGGCTCTTTTGAGGGTCTTGGGCCTTTGGAGTATGAGTTTTAGGTCGATATTTGCTGGGGCTTCATTCGCTTGCTGTCATGTTTTATTAGCTGTGTCCGGTTGTAAGCACAACACTACGTTGGTATGCCAATACTGCACGCTGCCATGCTCTAGTGACAGGCTCTGGTACTACCCATACTCTCCATTGTAGTTCCTTTTTCAGGTTTAACCAGCTATGTATTTAGGATCCTATAAAGGAACTAGAATGAAGACTATAGGTACTAATGGGCTGCAGAGCAGAAGCAGGCGTCGAGTTTGACGGGGCAGTAGTCCTGCTCGACATCGTCGTGGTATTAGTTGCGGGGGAGGAGGTAAGCTTGTGAAAACAACTTGACGCCCTGTTCCCGCCTATCCAAACCCTATGTCTTTTTCGAAGGTCGATAAACACGTTGCCTCGTCACTCTTGTCCTTGACCTTGGTCAGGTACAGGAAGTGCCGCATCTTGTCCCGGGTGGACTTGTAGCCTTAGAGCACTTGGGATATTGGGTCTGGGGTGAGGGCTGGTGTCTGGGGTCTAGGCTGTCTGATGATTTGGGACGGCTGGGAGCCCTTGAAGGATATGGCTACCTTAGGTGCTTAGAAGTACCAGGCCCAACGGCCCCTTTATAGAGTCCTTGTCGCCCTTAATAGTGGGTATTTGGGGTATATTGGGGTACTTGGAGGGTCTACGTACATAATCATAACCCCAATAACTTACCGTGTGTATGACTCTGTTTACCAAGCCCCCTGTCCTCTCATGTGGATCTTTGGACTCTGGAGCTTGGTGCGAGGGTGTGACAGCTGATAGATATGTTAAAGGTATCGGAGGGGTTGAAGTTGTAGTCTCCGGGCCACAACAGAGGCTATCACATAGGGCCCCTAGTTATTAGAAGGTCGGGGGGAGCATACTATTGAAGACTTACACAAGTGACTATCGGGGATGATGTTACCAGATATAATTCAAAGCCCGACAACCCCTACAGAATATCAGCAGCTGCTCTCCAATCCAGGGCCCAAAATTGGGACGTAGGGCTCAAAGGTTTAAGGTTTGGGGGTCAAGGGTTTAGGGTCGAGGTTCAAACGTTTTAGGGCTTGGCCCAAAGGCCCTAAATCCTGAACCCTAATTGTTAGATCATAGGGCCTAAATACAAAGGCCGGCACGGTCGAAGTTGGCAGAGCGTGACGTCAAAAGCCTCAACAACTCTCTCTGGGAGCTGGCTTGAAGCGGATGGAGTTAGGATTCTGCACACCAACAAGCGCGATGGCGGGTGTATGAGTTCTGGGGTTTAGGAGCATCAGGGCTTCATGTATGATTCCTGACGGAGTCACAAGCAATCTACATTCAGCCAACATGCATGTATGTCGGAACAGCTCCATACAACTTTACGGAAACTTATGCATGTACATATACATACACATGCACATAGACACAAACACACATATATACATATATATATATATATGTATACATGCACATGTCAATGTGTGTACACATATATACAAGTTTACATCAACACATAAATGCATGCATATATATATATATACATATGTATATATATATATAACTATAAATATACATATTTATATCTGTAATTTTAACTATGCATACATACTATGTATTAAAGGCGTGCTTTGCAAGACTTACCACAACGAATGGATCAGAGCACTGAGAAAGTAAGTCTGGCAAGCCTTGCACTGAGTAGTTTAATTGGAGCTAGAAGTACTTGACAACTTGAAACTACAGTAACCCTAAACCACACCTAAACCGTAGTGTAGGTGCCTGAAAAATTAGAATAGGGTTTCGAGATGTATTGCACTATACATATAGTACAACGAACCCACAACATAGCATAGGTAATTGCTGAGGCCCCTACATTAACCCCCTGAACCCTGAAGGTTTTCCATAAACCCAAAACCCCTTAACCCCGAAGGTTTAAAAGTCATCTGTCAGCCAAGAGGCGACTCGCCGTCTTCTTTGGACATCATCCTGAGGGCCGCAGAGAAGGCTTTTGGAGTTTAGGGTTTAATTAGAATTTGGGGGGTTCAGGGTTTAGAGGTTGTGGGGTGTGGGCTTCAGAGTTCCTTTAAAAGCTATATGGGTTCCTGTAAAGGGATCTATAGGGGTTTTGGGGTGTGGGTGTGGGTTTCAAGGGTTCAGGGCCCAGGGTTAGGGAACTGAGGTATGGGCTTCAGGGTGTAGGCTTGCAATGGTTTAGATTTTGGGGCTCGGGGTTGATGGATCAGCGTAAAGGGGTTTAGGGAAGGTTTCCAAGGCTTTTGCGCTTGATATGGACGGTCTAAAGTGCATCAACAACCCTAAACCCTCTTCGGGCCAGAATGGCGAGTTTCGGGTCCATCATGGAGTATGTATGGAACCAAGAAACTAGATCCTAAACTCCCAAAAGCCAGCTATTTCGTGTTTAATCAAAACCCAACCCCCTTGCAAGAAGATGTAGCTCTAGCCGTGAAACCCTAAACCCTAAACCAGAAAAGCACCAACTGCAAAATGCTATCACCTGTAAAAGCAGCGATTCCTAAGATATAGCACAAACCACAGCAGGAGCGATCATGGTGCCACCAGCTCCAGTCAATCAGTTCATTTTAACAGAAGTGATAAGTCACTAAAGATGCTAGCAGCAATCACCAGTATATCGACTATTCAGCAACTGATGATAGCAGAAACAAGCAGTTACTAACCCTAAACCCTAAACCCTAAACCCTAAACCCAAGCCATAAACAAGTCCTGAACCGGAGGATCGGCCTGAAGCTCCGGAAATCCTACACCGTCCCGTAGGCCCTTGTCTCAATCCTGAAACTCTAGGCTGCCCAGGAATCCCGGTTTAGGGTTTAGGGGGTTTAGGGTTTTGGGTTTAGGGTTTAGGGTTTGGGGTTTAGGGTTTAGGGTTTAGGGTTTAGATCCTCAGGAACCTTAGATCTAAATCTTTGCCGAGAAGGGGCATCAAAGCCCGAACGGCCAAGTGGGGAAGGCCCCGGTCCCGGGCAAAGCTTAGGGCCTGGAGCTCAAAGGCTCAAAACGAGGCCACAACCGCGGGCTTAGGGGCGTACTTGGAGGATCATGGGACTCAGTAAGTAAGGTTATGACTACCTTAAGTGGGCTTATAAGTATAGTTACCTTAGGGATACAACTAGTTACTAAGTCGCATGATCCTTTCAGTATGGATTTGTGGTGTACGGGTTTAAGGGTTAAGCGCATAGGGGCTAAGGGGTTGAAGGGCGTTGGGGGGTACTTGGAGGTTCACGGGTAGTTGTGCGTGGGGTTATAAGTCCTCTAATATTCGTTGTACTTATAGTTACCCTGCTTATAACCTGATTATAACTACCCATGAACCTCGGAGTAGGGTTCAGGGGTTGAAGGGATCGGGGCTCTGGAGGATACGGCTTGAGAGATTTGGGGTTGTAGGGCTTGGGAGCGGATTCATGAAAGGCCTTCATGGTTTTCAAAACCAAGCCCCTTTTGGGGCTCCTCCACGTTAAGGCTTGTAATATAGATCCTTCAAAAGGAGGGTTGTTTGCAGTTGAGGTTAAGGACACTGTGCAGTTTACATTGTAAATAAACCTTACAAGCTGTATGATTCAGGATTTCACCGGTGGTGTACATGGGCTTCGATAGAGCTCTATACGGGATTGACGGAGAAGCAAGAAGAGATGCTGCAGTGATAAATCGAACACCTGGCAAGACTGATGAGAATCATAGCTAGAATACGTAGGCCCACATCTACGAGTCGTGTAGAGAGAGAGAGAGAGAGAGAGAGAGAGAGAGAGAGAGAGAGAAAAGAGAGAGAGAGAGAGAGAGAGAGAGAGAGAGCGCGAGAGAGAGGGAGGGAGGGAGGGAGACAGAGAGAGAGCGAGAGACAGACAGCGACAGAGCCAGTGAAACCAGCGGCAATGAGAGTGAACCCTAGACTCCCCACAGTCTCCGACACGAAGACTCGGATTCCACACACATGCTCCCAATCCGACACTTTCCAGAAGGATTCATTCTGAAAAACCACACAAAAATTATGCCCAGCGGAAACTCAGGACTCTGAATCCTAAACCCAGACTGAAGCCGAAGCAGATCATAATCTGCCAAACCCAGAGGACGTCGAAAGCCGCCTAGGATTAGCCGTCGGGAGTTTTAGAGAACGGAACACCTCATAATGTAGGAACCTGATTACGAAACCTTGGGCCTTTGTCAGGGTTCCTGAATCATATGGATCCTACTATTTTGGGCTTTTGGGGATATATAGGCCCTGCAGGGTTTCTTAATCAGGTTCCTACATTATACAAGCCTAAACACGAGGACTCGATACTGAAAGGACCAAAATTCACTGTGGCCTGCTGGGCATAGCTGCCTGTATGGTCCCGCTGGGCGACCTTCGGGGAGGCTTTTCCGCTGCTGCGCTTGCAGATTTGTGTATGCATCTCTACGATCTTGCCTGGTTTCAATGGGTTCGCTTCTTTGCTTGGGCTTGCTCAGGTCGGGGTTGGCTTGGAAACAGGGCCCAACCCCTAAACCCCAAACCCTAAACCCCTAAACCCTGAACCCCTAAACCCCTAAACCCCAAACCCTAAACCCCTAAACCCTAAACTCCGAACCCTAAACCCCTAAACCCTAGACCCTAAACCCTCTTCTGAGGCATTGCACCGGTGGCAGCGATGAGACTGACGGCAGCAGCACAACCACAAGAGCTGCGCAGCAGCACCGGCAACTCGCAACGACAGGAACACCAAAAGTTCCCCTGGCAAGGAGACTAGGTTGACCCTTGAAAGCCTCTGAAAAATATTCGTAAATAGGGTCCTATCCAGCCCAATAAGGGAAAATATAAGATGTCCCAAAGGCCTACCTAGGCGACTAAAACAGATACTTGTCAGCCCTGATCTGGCATTTTGGGGTCCGATGTCTGAACTCCAAGCGACGGAGCACGTCCCCCTGCGACCGCAGACCTCCATCTGTGGGAACCCAGGGCTACTAACTCCAGTGGTTTTCGGGTTCCCTTGGCTCTTTAGCTCCTTACTTAGGGTTTAGGGTTTAGGGTCCCTGGCTCCTGCGCTCCTCCAATATCAATGGTTAGGCTAAGAATCACACAGACTTGAACCCGTCGCAGCATCATAAATTTTCTTTTCTCAGTGCAGGGCCGCAGGGCTCAGCGCTGTTGGATCTGCTTGAAGGGACCGCAACCCCTGAACCCAACTCTGCACCAGCCATGAAAACCGCAAAGCCGAATGAATCCTGCCAGAATCTTCGTGAAGCTTCTCTGCACTGCAAGCCTAAACTTGGCAAACACAACCGTGAATCACCAAACCCTCAACCCTATACCAAATCCTTTTGGATCCTCGACCCTAAAATCAAAAGCACTTCTAACCTGAAACCCTCTGGAACCCTGAAAGGAACCCGGATAGCACCGTGAAGGGCACCCTGGATCCGACTCATCCGGCCTTCTTCTTGAGTCTTGCATCCACCTCTGGTGGTAGCTTCTCCTCCAGACCGAAGACGCGAAGGCGCAGTGTTGACTTTGTGCTTAAGGTTGAGGCTTGGAGCTTTAGAGTTGAGGGTGCTGCGGGTTATAGGGTTTGGACTTTCAGGGATTTGAGGTTTAGTGGTTTGGCGGTTGATAGGGTTTTGTGAAGATGATGCTGCTGCTGGGAACGATGGTGATGAAGGCCAGTACACTGTGGATGATGATGGTGATGATGATCCCCTCGTCCCTATAGCCTAGAACATTATAAGACAGTTATTGAGATAGCGAGCTCGCCGAGCACACAAACGCCTTCTACCCCCCCACCTCTTAAGCAACCGTCAAAAAAACAGAGCCCTAGAAACCGACACCGTCCCCCCAACCGAAACTCAAGAGCATGAACCCCCAACCCCCCTCCCAGCAGAAAATAATATAAATACTACTTTTGATGATAGCAACACTCAGAACCCTTCTCGGTTTAGCTAAACTGGGGGGCCTTAGTAGTCGCCTAGACTATCTTAGACTATTTAGATAGGGCGCCTTATTATGATGATAGTATAGTATGACCCTAAAACCTATTCAAATTGTTAAGGCCCCTATACTAAGTCCTTGTAGTACCCTGATAGTATCCCTTGAAGGACCTCGTAATTTTAAAAAGAACCCTATTCTAGTTACGAAGGCCCTCATACTGCATCTTTATCGTAGCCAATATAGTAACCCTTGTAGACCCTTTATAAGAACCCTTTAAAGGGAACCCAATTCCGGGTAGCCTTGGCTTCCTCAGCCTGGAGGCTGTCTTTGGCCTCGGGCTCCTCGCTTGGTCTCCGGTTCTTGTTTTCAGGTTCTTGTCTTTTGCTTTGGGTGTGTTTGGAAGTTCACGGTTTGTGGGTGCAGAGTTTGGGTTTGTAGTTTGGGGTTGGGGGTTTCGTGCTTAGCGGATCGATCGAGTTTAGGGTGAGGGTGTAGGGTTTAAGCGTTCTGGGTGCAGAGTGTAAGTTCTCGGCATTGTTCCTGTTTTGTGTGTTTTGTGTGTGTGTGTGTGTGTAGCTGTGTTTCTGTTGCTGAATTCCTTATGTTGTTTTGCTGCCTTATCTGTGCTGGGTTAAGGTCGAGGTTCATGCAGATTAAGGCGTTTGAAAGGCTTACAAGCTTGTGATAAAGTTTCAAGCTGACGAATCTGAAGTGTAAGGCCCTAGACCCTTACCCTAAACCCCAACCCCCGGGAAACATACAGTTGATTGTTGAGAAACTGCTCAGAGTCGCGCTCTGCTTCCGCGCCTCTGTATGTCCGCAAATACTTGGGGGCGATTGGCTGAGAGGAAAATAATAAGTAAAGTTATCATTGCCAAGACCGGGCGTAATCAATCAGTAGTTATAGAGAAGTGCACTGATCTTACCCACAATGCTACACCCTACCAGCCCTTCCCTCGAGTCTGTTCTGCGTAGAATCTCTACAAGAACCCTGAAGGCAGAAAACGAGCAAAAAACCCTACAGAAAGATCCTGCTCGATACCATGTACCCTTGCACTGAATCCCAAACTCTAAACCCCGAACCTTGAATTTGTATCCCTGAACCCTCAAACGAACACTGACCTTACCGTAAACTCTAAAACCCCCAAAACTAATCTAACCCCTTAACCATCCTAAATCCCTAAACCCCTGCAACCCTTAACTCCCCAAACCCTAGCTTTCCCAGCCTTTTCTGCCTTCTTCTTTGCCGGAGCCGGCTCGGGAGCCTGGCGCAAGGCAGCATCGTTGAGGCTTCTTGTAAGTTTTCTTTATTCCTACACTTTTGTAAACCCCCAAAAGTTGGAAACCAGATTGAGGACAAATAGTGCTGGGATTCCCTATGTATTACTCTTGAGGATGGAGGCTAATGGGTTTCCAACTTTGGGGCTTCAACTGTAAGAGTCCATGTATCCAAATGGTATATACTTTGCGTGGCCTTACAGTAGTCCCTATATACGCACTGTGGCCAACGTATGAACTCGTTTGGCTTCTTACAAGCTTTGGCTTTCAATCCTGCTATCGGGTCCTTAAGGGGTCTAGGGCCCTAACTATAAGGTCCTTGGAAGCATAGGGTTGGAGCACATGTTAGAGATTTCGGCTGAGAGTTTAGGGTTTAGGGTTTCCGGCTTAGGGTTTCGGGTTGAGGGGCGCTGAGAGGGTACCCTGACCTCCGACGACCCCTGAACTGAAAAAAACGACTACGGGGCTTTCACACTCTTGTGCAGGCTTGGGGTCCTACAGTCTACAAAGTTTCGTGATGTTCAAGATCGTGCTGGCCTGGGGCTTTCAAAAGCTCTTGACACTGTAAACCCTTCTGAAGCTAGTACTACTGCATGAAGCTGATAAAAACCCGGTTCGGATTCAATACGGCTTACGGTTTAGGCTAACCCAAGCCAGGACCTCCACCAGCAAACTCGACAGGCCCCTGGAAGACCCTCAACCCCAGAAACCCTTTTGTCCAAGGGTAAAAGGAGGGACCCTTAAGAAGGACCCCTAGGTATATACCCTTAATATAGCTATTATATACCCATTATATAGCCCATTATAGGGTAGGGGTCCCCATTAAGGGTCCCTCCTTTTCCCCTTGGATTTTGGACCATAAACGGCAAACCGAAGTAGCCTTGGATGCTAGGATAGACGTCCGCAGCCCTGCCTTTTCCGGAAGGATACCTTTCTCAACCTTCCTGAGCATTCACGGCTATTTGGGGCGGGTTGCTCAGGTTTAGCACGTAGAGCTGCTAAGTGCCGGCCAGAAAGCCAATTAGACGGGTTTTAATGGGTTGTAAGGTTTTTACAGTCGTCTGGCGCTTTCCTGCCTGGGACTGGACTTTGAAAGGGGCATGGGCGCGTGGGCTGAAGATTCGTGCGTCATCTCGGAATCGAAGTCATCATCGGTTGGTCGGGTAGGTGGATGTCCTGTAGCCCAAAAGGCCGCAAACATCTATTGTACCTTTTCAAAGATGTATTGAAAAAGCCTATAAAATGTAGGTGTGTGTCGGTTTGCGCTTCATCGCAAAGTTTACAGCCTGACCGTTTATCCTGCCCCAAAAGCCTATAATGTTATTGATTTTAGGCAAATCATTATAGAGCCGTGAAGCTGTGAGCGTTCAGAGCCTCACAAATATCATGAGTCCTCAGAGCCTTAAAGTGTATCAGTCCTCAGAGAATTGAAGAATATGAGTCCTGGGAGCCGTAGCGTCATCCTCTTTTCAACAGTGGGATTCACTAACTCTAGCGTGCCAATTCCGCAAGACGCAACAGCAATCCCAACCTGTATCCCCGAAGACTATGGTTTGAAGCCGCATGCAATCTACGATGCTCGCTGGGGCATGTTCCATGGTATGCTCGCGTCTAGTCAAGTCCAGTCTGATATCATGTTGTACTGCTCTGTGCCTCAAGGAATTCAGGAAAATGATGGCTCGTACCAAGACCCGAACAAGCCCTAACTTTAGGCGATTGTACCAACCCTTAAGCTCCCCAAACTTTCGTTATGCGGCCAGACCCTGCACCCTAAACCCGGAAAGCCTTGTAGGTTCCATGCTTTCAAAATTCAAAATATCCTGCAGCCCGGCGTCAACCGTGTGATGCGCGCCATCACAACCACGTCCTCCGATCCATCCACATTGGGTACAGACCTCGGTCGGCAGCACACTTCGAGAAATAACATGGTTTTGATGTGATGCTCGCAAGTGCGGGGCTCGGACATGATTCTGCCTAGACCTCTGAAAACTGGGGACACCTTGTACTGGGTTCCTGTCAATAAGGATAACACGAGGCTTACTGTCGTTATGTCCATACTTAAGGACATCCTCTCTGCCCGCTTACAGACATCAACGCAACTTTGTACTGACAATGCCTCCAGCCCTAAACCCCCAAATCCCCAAACCCCAAGCCGAACACGAACCAAGAGTCGACACAAAACGCAAAACATAGGCCGTAATAATTAGAATAGGGTAAGAAGTGAATGGAGATCAGTCAGACTTCTACATTCAACCCGTCACAGGAACCCTTATGGTAAGCCTGAAAAGGATCCCTTTAAAGGAAACCTTATAGTAGCCCTTGAAAGGATCCCTTAAAAGGATCTCTTAAAAGGAACCTTTAAAAGGATCCCTTTAAAGGAACCCTTATAGTAACCCTTGAAACCTCTTAAAATGATCCCTTAAAAAGAACCCTTAAATGGATCCCGTTCAAGGAACCCGTATAGTAACCCTTAACAGGATCCCTTACAAGGAACCCTTCTAGTACCGCTTGAAAGGATCCCTCAAAAGCAACCCTTATAGTAACACTTGAAAGGATCCCTTAAAAGAACCCTTGAAAGGATCCGTTTAAAGGCACCCTTACAGTAACCCTTAAAGGGATCCCTTAAAACGAAGCCTTATAGTATCGCTTAAAAGGATCCCTTTAAAGGAACCCCTATAGTAACCCTTGAAAAGATCCTTTCAAAGGAACCCTTGTAGTAATCGTAAGGATCCCTTATAGTAGCCCTTGAACGGAACCCTGCTGGGGCAATCTGAGCTTTGAGCTCGGCTGACTTTTGGCCACTCTTGCTTGCCTGGCTTCGCTTCTAGGGACTTCCTCAAGGTTGAGAGCCTAGGGCATACCTGGACCTTATAAACCTACCTTTTCAAGGTTCCCTATTATCTGAGGCTAAGGTATGCCTAGAAGGCCTAGGCCTATGGTTCATATCCCATGTTGGGTTTAGTAAGTCCCAAGCTCACAGCGCTCAGTCCTGAATCGTACACCCTACCACCCCAAGGCCCTTAACCCCTACAGTGCCCTTGCCAAAGCCCTAAGCCTTAAACTCTATCATGGCCTTATAGAGCCCTTAATTAAAGGAACCCTATGATGGTAGTATAGAGCCCTATGGTCCTTCAAGGGGACCCTGTTATAGAAGCCTATAGTACCCTTAAAGGAACCCTTAGCCGGGCAATCAGGGCGCAAAGCTCGCATAGCAGTCTTCCCTTAGGCTCCACGTAGCGGATCTTATACAGGAACCTTCAGGCCGAAGCATAAACTATGTATTTGGAGGTTCATGCGACCTAGAAAACAAGGTTCTAGATACCTTGAATGGGGCTATAAGCAATTATAAGTATGGTTATCTTACAATTATATAACCCTAGTCAGTCCATGCACATTTAAGTAGGTACAGTACATGGAGCGCTAGGTTTGTCAAAGCTGCAACGGGTCCGGTGTTTGGGCAAAGTTTTTCTGGCTTGACAAAAAAATCAGAACGCAAAACCCTAAACCCTGAAACCTCTACAGACCCGAAATCCCTAATCCTGAGCCCTTCGACTCTAAACGCGAGTCACTTACGCATGGCCCACGAAGGAGTCACCCCATCCAGCCGCCCCGCCCCCGACAGATCGTGCACGACTTTCGCCGTTCTGGACCTGCCGCGCGGCTCCGAGGGTTCCCGGCGGTGGTCGCTTGAGCCGGCCCGACCGGCGCCGGCCGCTGTCGGGATGGACAGCAACGCTTCGCCCAAGAAGGCAAACTCTTGAAGCCAAAACTGAAATGCCACTAAATACAATCTAGGAGTTTCCATGCAGCCGGCAGAGAGCCCAGCCAGTCACAACGTCAACAAAAAAACATACTGAAACATCCTAAGCACCATAAGCCTGAAAAAACGAAAATGTAAACCCCTAAACTGTAAACCCTAAACCCATAAACATGCCTCAAACTCCATGCCTCCGTGATGATTCCCAGAAGCTCTTCGGGAGTGAGCGTTCGCAACTCCTTCTCCGTGTCTTTTGACAGGCAATGCTTTTTCACGTACTTCTTCAGCTCCTGCAACTTGGGGCAACAAGGTTTAGGGGGCCAGGGCTTAATATTTGAGGGTTTAAGGATTTAGGGTAAGGTTTACCCGACCCTACCATAGGTTATGATCGTGTCCTGTTGTAAGCCGCAACACAGAAGTTACAAGAACCTGCCATAGTAATGACCTACTGCTACTGTTGGCAGGGGTCATAAGACAAGCCCTGCAAAGAGGCCAAAAAGCCCTACAGAAAGCATTAGCATGGTCTGCTTGGTTTCGGGTTTAGTGGCTTCTTGAGCTCCTAGTGCTTTTACCCGGCTCCCCAGCGCAACATCCTAGTAAGAGGGGCTTAGTATTGAACTGGTCATCAGTTTTATCCAGGATGTCCCGAAAAAAAGAACATTGCGTTTAGGGTTGAGGGGTTAGGGCTTAGGGTTTTGGGGATTAGGGTACTCCGCGCGTATCTAAGTTGCAAGGGCTTCTAAAGTTTTGGTTTGGGGTTGAGCTCCCCGGAGTCAGGCTGTTCAGAGTAGTTGCGTTGTTGCAGTGTTGTTTTGAACGCTTTTGTCTGCGCAGTTGGGTTTTGTAGTAAGTATACGGCCCCAAATAAGCGCATAAGCAAAAATTAAGATAGGGATCTCCCACATTCACCCCCTTATATAAGGTGGGGATGTCCCTTTCAAATGCTTATGCCGCTGTGCTTTATGGGTCCCTAAGTGCTTTATGGGTCCCAAGTAAGAGGATTTCTTTCGAGACTTTCCCTGGACTCGGTTCAGCGGCTGCCGAAATCCATGCTCTCTGGCTTCCCGAAATGACCCAAGACTGGAATGATTGAAAGCTCTGCATCATTCGTGGGCTTCCGGAAGTTGACTACTTGCGAAAGCTTTGTTCATAGGGACCCTTGGGAAGGTAGGGGGAGGTTGGGTAGCAGGCCTTGATGCCCAAGGGACCTAATAAGGCCTATTTAAGGAAGTAAAGTCTGCTACCCCCGTAAGGGTCCCTATGATTTGTGAAAGGAAGGAGACGGGGGCTTCGTTGAGTTGTAAACATAATCACCTTTTGCGCTGAGTACCCCAGCCCCGAAAAAGTTAACCTTGTGAATTTTAGTAGGGGAAGAATAGCCCAGGGAAAGCTTACCTACCTAGAACCTCCATCTACCCTCTATTAGACCCTAAATGCCCCTTATTTGGGACCATATACCCCTCTTTGAAGGTACAAGGAGGGTCCTGGTACTCAGCTCCTAAATTAAAGCATGCTACACTTCTCCGAAGTCTGCAGCTGCAAACCATGCAGAGCAGTCGCAGAACTGTCGCCATAATCCGGCCATAATGGCTTAGGGTTTAGGGTTTAGGGGCCATAATCCCCGGATCGTGAACCATCGTGAACCATAGTCGTAGCCCCTTTGAGGGTTCATGTGATCCTCAAGGACCCCACACCCCATACAGTAGAAGCCAAAAAGTTGGAAACCCCATAGCCTCGATCCCTAAGAGTATTGTATAGGGAATCCCAGCACTATTTGGCCTTAATCCGGTTTCCAACTTTATGGAGTTTACTATACATCCCTGCATCCTCTTCCGCGTAGACGGCAATGGCATGGTCGGCTCCGCCACTCTTTGAGGAGCTACTCTTTGTGACCTGCTTGGAGGGTCGGGGGACTTAGTAAGTAGGTAGTAAGTAGACTTATAAGTACCCTAAACGGGACCCTAATTGGGGTTATGGTAGTTATAAGTCCCTAAAATAACCAGTTACGAAGTCCCCCGACCCTCCAAGTGTCCGGTCGACTCTTCAGAGTTGGTAAGGCTCGCACGGGTTGTATGTAATATATAGGCTTGTAGTGGGTTTTATCAGGTTTACTACACGGTTCATACGGTCCATGTGGCTACACAGTATACACTTTGACCCGCAACAAAAAGGTTGCTATGGGGTCCAAGTACATTCTGAATGGGTAGATGACGGCAAATACAGCAAGTGTCTTAGCGACGCCTGATACCATCAGAATCCTGAGCATTGCGACGCGGCTTCTGACCCAGTTCATCAACTCCGGGATAATATTTGCTGTCGATACATTTCGAACGTGCTGGTTTAATTCATCTCGACTGATATCATCATCAGGACCCTTACCCTAAGGGTCCATGTACCCATATAGCATATACTTTGGGCCCAATGTACCTATATAGGAAGTACTTTCGGGCCAATGTATATACTATATGAGTACATGGACCCTTAGGGTTAGGGAAGTATAGTGCCCTGCACCTCTGCCCCTTACACCTAAACCCTACACCGCTTCTGCTATCTCCTCACCGGCCCAAAACACAAGGAAACAAAACTTGAAACTTCCAGAATCGACTACCTTATAAGAACCCTAAAAGTTGAAAAGTTGAAACCCTAAACCCTACACCCCAACCCCTAAACCTCAAACCCTAAAGCCCTAAACCTCTTATGCCATCTCCAGCCTGAGGAGTCTGGGTCATGGTGCTGGCAGCCATTGCCAGGTTGTGCATGGCCAGCTGCTGCCTGGGACCAGCTTCGTGAACTCTTCCGTGCACTGCAGAGTGGGTTTAGGTTTCGGTTTGGGGTTTGGGGTTTGGGGTTTGGGGTTTGGGGTTTAGGAGTTTAGGGTTTAGGGTTTAGGGTTTAGAATTTTAGGGTTTAGGGGTTTGGGGGTTTATAGGGTTTAGGGTTCAGAGTTCTGGGGTTTAGGGTGTTGGGGCTTAGGGTTTAGGTTCTCTGGGCAGCTCCATGAGACCGCTAATCACGATGCAAGCTTTGCAGCTCGCTTTTGCTCTCCAGGTGGTCGAGCCCGAACCACAGGAAAACCTGAAATCAGAGGAACCCTACCCCTGGAAGCCCTACTTAAAGGATCCTGGGACTTAGTAACTAGGGTTATAATTAGGGCAACTATACTTATAACCCCAGTTAAAGCACTTATAACCTTAGTTACTTACTAAGTCCCATGATCCTCCAAGAACACCCTTCAACCCACCCTGCAAAAAGCCAAGCCCTACAGACCCTGAGGCCCAAACCCAAACTCTCTCGAACCGAACTAGGTCACGAAGCTGGCTGGACCCTCCGGGTCTTCAAGTTGGAACCTGGCAGTTTGGGATTCAATATCAGTGCCTGAGTAACTAGAATAGGGTTTTGAGCCTGTTATACTATAACTATAATGGGGAGCCCCACCCCTAATCATTCAGGCCTCTGTAGTTAATTATCAAGGCAATTCTGTCATTATAGCTTTGGGGGTTTAGGATACACTCAACTACCGTACTCGATGCTGGACTCTGCTCGCTCTTGACATTGAAGTTAGAGACCTCGAGGAAGGGCAATGCGTGGATTGTCCGGTGGAAGCTTTTGTAGTCTCAAGCTGCAGCAGAGCTGCGCAGTCACAGTAGCCGCCACGAGATTCGGCGTGAGAAGCCTGAAGCTCACTATTGCAAGTTGCGAGAACACAAGTGCTACCGATTCGCCACGGGAACGCGAGCCAGTGTAACCCTAATAGCAAATCTTATGGGTCATGGTTCCATCATAGCACCCACATGAAAAGCGAAGTGGAGGTTGGAGCGAAAGTGAAAGTGGTCGTTGTCATCGTCGTCATGACTGTAACACTGGTCATATACGGGTTACAATACCTTAGGATGCATACTTGTCACCGAGGTGCTTTACATGCCGTCACGACCGTGATGACGTGGGTGTACAAGATACGATTGCTAGTACGGCCACGGCGACAATGGAGACCTGCACATGGCAACAGCCCTCAATGCAGTGACAACGAGGACGACGATGACAATGACCATGACTACAACCAATGACCAGGAACACAACCACGACGCCGATGCTTACAACCAGCACCACCAACCGCATTTGGAGCCACAACCGCACACAACCAACAAACAACAACCGCTATTCAAGCTAGTCACCAGCTACTGACTGCTGCAGCTGGAGGCCCCTAAACCCTTACGCCTAAACCGATCCACTTTTGCAGCCAGAGGCCAAAAACATTCGAGGAGACATCCGCTACTTGAAGCTTCATGGGTAGTTATAAGTGGGGATAGAATGGTCCCCTCATGTGGGTTACAATTATGGTTACCTGACTGATAACCTCACCGAAAACTAGGCATGAACCTCCCGTACAGTTACGTGCATCTCTACACCCTATATACCCTGAAACGAGCATGCGAGTGGTAGCTGCCGAGACCAGCCAACTTTGCCAAGAAGCTGCGGCAAGACGCCAGGATACACTGGAATCTGGGCCTGTGCAAACTGCTGCTGAAACTGCTGTTGCTGTTGTTGCTGCTGCTGCCACTGCTGTTGTGCAGGTGTGGGCTGTGGAGGGGGTGGTGGAACCACATTTTGAAAACCGTGCTGTTGTGCCGGCTGCTTGGGAGGCGGCGGCAAGGGTAGTTCTGAGGCAGGGGGTGGGGGTACTGGAGGTGGCGGCTTGCTCGCCGGCTGCGGCGGCGGCTGCGGTGGCGGCTGGGGCGGCTGCGGTGGCTTTTGTGGTGGCTTTTGCGGTTGCGGTGGCTGTGGTGGCCTTGGGGGGGTCTCCTCAGAAGCTTTCGGCGTAGGGGGAGGCCCCTCAGGCTCGGGAGGACGCTTGGAGCGAGGTGCACCGATAGGCTCTGGAGGCCGCCTCAGAAGCTGCAGTTTTGGGGCGTCTCTTCACAAGGGCTCTATTGGGGTTACAGGGGTTATGTTTTTAGGGGTCCTTTCAGGGGGGTTCTATGATATCTAGGGCCTATTCGGGCCTTGTTCTAATAGGGTTTATACGGCAGTTGCTTCGATGAAGGGGCTGGGTAGGTAGGACGGCGTCTGTATGCGTGTGTATCTACAAATAAACTCGAAAAATCTCGAATGCAGGCACTGATCACCCGCTTTCAAAGTTACTGCCGATCTCTGCTACTCCAAGCGGGCCTTCGCAATCTTGCGGTTAAAGTTTAGGATCTGCACCGGATCCCAGATTTCCTGGATTTCCCGAGAAATTGTCACCCTGCGCAGTCAGCCACGCAAGTGAGGGTGAAGCCGAGCAGGCATCCGTCTCAAGCTCTGCAAACTAAGCCCAGCAGAACACCCACACACACACACCCTCAAACGTATGCAAGGATTTGGCTGGGCTCTAAGGTTCTGGGTTCACGGTCATGTGTGTATATATTGTGTGTATATGAATACACGGACAGCTCAAAGGGCAGTCAAACCCATGAACAAATCTCGGGCGAAGCCTTGTGCCGCTGTGCACAACCACAAATGTTAGGGTTCAAGGGTTTAGGGTATAGGGCTTATAAGGTTTGTAAGGTTTGGGGTTCAAGGGTTTAGGGTTCCGTTAAAAGGTACCATAAAGGTTCCTTTCAGGGATCTTTTTAGGGTTCAAGGGTTCCGGGTTTAGGTTCAGGGGTTTAGGGTTTTGGTACACTCACAAATCTGCAGGCGCCCAGGGCTGAACATGCACACGGCCTGCACGGAGCCATGCTAGCGAGAAACCAATTGTGCTCGTTTTTGGGCCTCGCAGCCTCACCTGACCATATACTCCCGACAGACATCCTCTTCACACGACGAAGAGACATGCAAACCTGATTCCCAAAAAAGCGAATAGCAAGTCGAGTTAAACACCGAAAAAAAGCCCGAACCCTGGACATCATTGAACCGAAACCGTAGAACGCTTCCAGAATCCTTGCATGAGCCCGAGCCCTTCGGAACCCTAAACCCCCGCCTAAACTTGAGGTAAAGGCCACCCAACCCTGATCAGCTTCAGAAGGCACCCCGCTGTTTTCGGTAAGAAGTCTTCTATACTGAACTTAACTTAGAACCCTAGCAAAAATTATACTTTTAGCTGTTTCTTGGGGATTATAATAACCAAAATTAAAAATTATTTCTAAGTACCCCTAAGTCTTATGGTGAGGGTCCGGCAATAAGAAACTACTAAGGTGTCCAACACCAAACATCTACGTGTCAGTAAAGCACCAAAATGCCACCAACTGGCTTTTTGCCCTCGGGTCGGGGCGGTGGCTTCTCAGGAGCCTCCGTTTATGTAGCGTTTCTGGACTTCTGGAGTTTTTAGGGGTTTACGACTCAGGAACTTCGGGTCTAAAACTTACACCCCCCCCTGCAGCCTTCATCTTAAACCCTGAAAACGAACCCTTGAGGTCTTATGCAGGCTGTACCTTCTATCATTTTTCATCCCCTGCACCCCATAGACCCCTGACGCCTAAACCTCGAACCCTATGCCCTAAATCTGAGGTTTCTAGAGGGCTCAGACCCTAACATAGCGGTCAGAAGAGTTGCACATGCTTTGCGCAAATAGACCTTAGCATAGCTGTAGTACTTTCATAAACCTCTGAGCCCTAGTTACTGAAGCCGCTACATTAAACACAAAGGCTTGCGGGTGGTTCTACTTAAAGGATCATGGGACTTAGTAACTAGGGCTATAATTAGGGTAACTATACTTATAACCCCCAATAAGGTACTTATAACCTTACTTACTAACTCCCATGATCCTCCGCTATAGCATCCTTATAGATCCCTTTAAGGAACCCTATTAATAGAACCCTATAGTACCCTAAAAAGGGACCCTGAACCTTACTTACTAAGTCCCATGATCCTCCAAGTAGAGGCTGGGAGATGAGTCTCTTTTGGGAGCTTGCCCGAGAAGCAGTGTTCAGGGTGTTGGTTTTGGGGCTTCGCAGTTGCGGCTGTGGGTTCGCTACAAATCCAAACTACCCTAAACCGTAAACCCTACTCTTTCAGGGGTTTACCTAGCTAGACCCCTAACTGCACTCTAATGTACCCCAAACACCCACAATTGGGAGCCTTAAGGGCTCTATTAAAGGGCCCTTGGTGGGTCCTGGTAGGGTTTACGGTTTAAGAACTTTCGGTTTCTGGCTGCAGGTTTCGAGAGTCGTGGTTGTAGGGGACTCCCGTAGCTGAAATAACGGGGTCCGAAGACAGCGTGAGGAGCTTACTCAGGAGGGCTTCGGGTTGTTTGGTGTTATTGGATTTGTGTCTTTTGGTTTAGGGTTTAGGGTGTAGGGTGTGCATGTACGTGAGATTTGCACAAACATCTGCGGTCAGAGGGCGGCATGCAGACCGCTTGAGACAGATAGATAATAGATCGGCCCATCGACGGCGAGCAGAGCAAGACGCACACCAGTGCATCGATGCAGAGAAGTAGACACTTGCACGATCATGTTTCAAGCGATAGAACCCGGGTAGAACCCAGCAGATCGTGGGTGGAGCAATGCATAAAATCATAAGACCCAAGTGAACTGAAATTACGGATGCATGGTGCATGCTGACCTTTTACAAGCTCTGCACTAATCAGTCATCACGTCGTCTGCTAACTTGGAGGATCATGGGACTTAGCAAGCAAGGTTATAAGTACCTTAATTGGGGTTATAAGTATAGCTACCGTAATTATAACACTAGTTACTAACTCCCATGATCCTTAAAGTAGACCCTAAACCCTAAACCCCATAGATACATTTAAAGAACCCCTATAGATCCCCCTTTAAAG